GCGGCTGATTGCAGTATAGCTTTTTCTTCAGATTCTGAGAAAACCGTCTGAGCACCAGGTTTTTTTACATGCATCCCTTTAAATTTATTATATAGCGTTCCATATGCTATGTTATATAGTTCAGATGCCCCTCTAATCGAAAGTTTACCGTCCACGATTTGAGTCAATGCCTCTTCTAACTTAACTTGTGAGTAATTTCGGTACTCACGAGAGCCCAGTTTCTTTTTGTATACTCGTGGCATTATTCTGAAAAAGAAATTAAAAAAAAACATAACACAAAGCCTTGAAGCAAATTTTGCTGCAAGCGGTTAGGTTGACTTTGATCAGTTGATCAATCTTACACCATGCACATTATCAATGACACCCCGCATAAAATAAAGCGTCGCCATAATGCAACCTTTAAGGTTAGAACAATAAAATATTTTGCTATGGGTTCACGAATGCACAATACTTAATAAATTTTATCCAAAAAAATAATGATACCAACACACACTGCAATGCACATAAAGTTTTGCAACACATTTTTTTCCAAATAAATAGATAATAACGGAAAACATACCTTTTTTTACATAAACGCAGTGATGTCGCCAACGCCGCCGGAGAAATGAATTTGACAGTTCACTCAGTATTACCATGCAAAAAAAAATCTGACAATAGTAGTTCTGTTTTACGCAATTTGAATTTTTATGTGAACAGGAAGTTTTGATCAAAGTAATCCCGCGATTCAAAGTAACCCCAGTTTACGGTAATCAAGTTTACACGAAACACGTGATAATGCATTGCCACGTATGCAAAGATGGAAAAATCTCGTTAATTTATTACATTGAATAGGTATGAAAGTTATAGGCCAATGTTTCCTTAGACTAAAGTGGTTTTTAGAACTAGCAAGAAGCTGGCTAGAAAGAAAAAAAAAAATTCAACAGCACTTAAGAATGTCGGCAATAGTAAAACTGCGGGTTTTGAGATAAGTTTTGCTCCCGTCTATACTGAATCTGACTCTTTGCAATTTCTACATCTTTTCACGCCTGATGATATATATATTGAAAACCCTTCGTTGTTAGTTAACATAGTTTTATAGTCTAATAGGTTATAAAGCCTGGGAAGCAATTCTAATGTTGGCGAAACAATAAATTTGAAATGGATTTTTAAAAATATGTGTTTGAAAATATAAGTCTTTAATTTGGTTTAAGTTATAATTAAAAAAAAACATTTGCTCATTTTTTATTTGATTGTGAGAGGGTTTGTAAGATAACACAATAAATTACTAATCTGTAATTTAGAACCGGGTTACTTAGCTAAATGAGGGCCATCACTGTAAAATTATATTTACAGTTCTTAATTTTTTTATTAATTCCCTTCGACTTTTATTCATGAAAATTATGGAACTGCCTAGCAAACCAATTTTGCTAATGTTTCAGTAATAATCGCATCTTAATATACGAGTAATCTCAACTTCTTGCAGTTTGCCATTGCACTTGAAGTCCAATATGATGATATATCTGTCACAATTGATGTGTGAGAAAGACATTGCACTAATAATATTGGTTTTCAGGATACAATAATAAAATGCAACACATTAGAATTATCCGTATACCAAATTTCTTTATTTAGTACTTTTTGCGTGAAAGAGAAACAAACAGCCATCGTCACAAAATAGCATTTATGATATTTTTAATTAAAAATGCTTAAAAAATTAGCTTTTGTCATTGATACTCTGAGATGGGATGGGATGAAATAGTGCTCAGAGTACCAGGGACAAAGCGGTTTTTTTAAGCATTTTTCATTCGTAATATTTTTCAGTATAGCATTGTAAATGCAAAATTGTACTAATATAATAATTAGTATTTATGATATTACTAGGATTCTACGGATAAGTCGACGTATATTTCTCAAAATAAATAGTACCAAGATATTATTAATATTTATTTAGCACATGTTCCAACATAATCGTCTGTTAATTTAAGGGTACAAGTTCACGGTTGCACGCTGCTGTATACTTGCAAGTTATTTTAAAATGTTTGAAGCATGACGTTACCTTATCTAGAATACCGCTGTGTGTAGTACCTCAAAACTTTACTCTTTTGAGATCAAAACTTAGAAACAATAAGTGTGTTAGGAACAATATAAAAATGCCTGTAAATTTAATTTTAAAGTTAGATTTATGAGTTAAGTATAGTACTTAATTAGATTGTATATATTGTATGTATCATAAAATCATCTTCCGTACGATGTACCCAATGTTTAAATCACGATATTTTATTTGCCATTAGCACGTTTGAATTATACTTAATTAAACAGAGCGCTAATGATCTCATAAAATAAACTAATTCCCACAAGAATCCGGACATGTTAATTAGAAAATTACGTAACGAAAATGATGAAGTCTCTGACCTTGGTTGGCAAAATTTGGATCCCTCCATTGTTTACTACACTGTAAAAATAAATTAAAAAACTAAAACCAAAAGCAAACGCTATCAATATATATATTTGAAATTGCGAATTAAGTCCTTTCATTTGATACCCTACTCGGAATGATTGAATAATATATTTTTTTACTTAATGTTCTCTAGAGGGCGATGTTGCTAATTAAATGTAACATCACATAGCATGCGGACATCTAATACCTCATTTATTTAGTTACGATGAGTAGTTTCGAAGTATAAGGGAACAGATGTACATTCTTACATGCATATATACCGGCCAAAATCATAACGCTCCTTTTCGCTTCGCCGTAGTCGGTAAAAATGGAATATATTATAGGTCTGTGGCTGCGCGTCAAATTACCACAAAATTTCAAATATATGCAACCGATTCAAGTATTTATTAAGCGTTTAAAATCAAAGTAGAATTCGACAGATTTGTATTACAAGCGTGCTTTTGACTACGAACTTACAGAATTTGTCAAACTATTCATTTGCTCTCTATTTTTGAGATTACCAAAAACAATTTTGGTAATCTCAAAAATAGTCCTTTAACACACATAGTTTTTATTTATTTATTGTTTGGCATTTGCAACATCTCGTCACACTAAAGTCCTTAGAAATTGACAAACATTTTGTGCTGTATTGAACCGAGTTGGGGCTTATCAAGTATCATATAAATAAGTAAGTATATAAGTAAGGGTTTATTGGAACGTGGGCGCTTCACTGATAAGGGTGTTTTATCTTATTCTGGTAGGAATTACATACATTAGACCCGGCAGGCTCTTTTGCCAGATACCAGGTCTTCCCCCCCTTCGTCCGGAGAGTATTCTCAGCGGGTTTTACCAGGTAGGCCGGCCTCGCTTAATTCTGTTATTTTCAGGACGGCTGCGGGGTCGGAGAGCCTTGGTTAAGGTTTGAGGACATATTTCCCTTAAAAAAAAGGAATTACATATATCAATCACTAATAAACCACACCTAACATGTAGGAGTAGTCGCACCCGGGTGAATATTCTGTGATATTAATTCGGTAAGGTACAAAACTGAAATATCTACTACATATTACTCATTTCCTACACCTGACGATACCTATGTGTAAAAGGTGGCAAATATACGGCGTTTACGAAACCTATTTTTATATATTTTTCCATTGTTATTATATTACTTACATTTTTTACAGCTTCTTATTTGAATTGTTTGTGATTACAGTAAACATCGAGAAGTTTTTAAATCATAATTCAACCTTATTGGTTTTCGTTTATCATTTTCGATAAGTCTTTCCACCTACTCTGATTATAATTTTTAAATGAAGTTTGTTTTCTTTGGCAGTGTAATTGTGAGTGGCAACTACAAAGCGCTTTCATTGCATATTTAGTATCTGAATATGATTTATTTACTCTTTTGTTTGGCAAAAATACGATAATAGGTTTAGTAATCAATTATGTATATCGTATGAACGGCAAAGGAAAATAAGTCGGTTGAATCCCGTAGGCATTGAAACGTTAAAAGCAAAATTATATATCTTTTAAGTCCGTATATACAATCCTACTGTTTATTTTAGAATATACCTACATATTGTTTTGTTGATACGAAAACCATGTTCTAGGATTGAATTTTTATACGTTTTTGGCAATAAGTTTACAACACAAGCGCATTTAAATTAGAAAAACACGAATAATCCTTAAATAGACTTAGGGAGGCAAAGGTTGTAATAATAATTCACAGTGGGTGCTGTGAAACTCGAGTCATAAAATGTAATCATGTCTTTAACTGAATGAATTAACTCGGTAGAGCGTGGGTGTCCTGCCGTACTGTGTATAGAATGATCACGGAAAATTGCTTTACCAATATCATACTTAACACATCTGTAATAGGGCACGTATGAAAGCAGAACAGTAAATTGTATCACTATTCCAATATTTACGTTAAAAATATATTATTTGTCGGAATAACTTCAGTAATAGGATGTGCGAGCAGATAACTGTTGTTTATTTCGTTACATAATAGCAATAAGTCTCCGTTAATGATTAATATCAATTTTGTTGTGTGCGACGTTCGATGTTAGATATCCATAGGTCGTTTCTTCTCTTCGGTTCACTGTAGAAGTTTATTAAATGAAAACACCGCACTTTTCAACATGAGAGAAAATTTTATTTTAACACACTTTGGTTTTGTTTATTTATAAAAATGTAATATATAGCGCTAAAGATTACTTAGAAACGATTTATTTAATATTTGTGGCTAATGCGCACACGCTTCTCAAATTTAAGGAGTTCCAGAAGACCGGCAAAACTGTAAATTTTTTTCAATCAAATTTTTTGCTACGCAAAGGAATTTGTGTTCATTTTGCGTTGAATAAATTTAATTATCATATTTCTCAGTTGTTTTGTAAGGGAAGGGATTTAGTTAAATAAAAACAATGCGATGTTAAGATCCATTTCTGTTATTTTGAAATAAAGGGTAAACTGACACTAATTTAAAATAACAGTGCAAAATAATATTTCCCATAACATGTTATATAGTCTGGTTCGGATTTTATATCAAGACAAATGAGATTAATGTTTTATCATTTGTTCACAGTTGCGAAGGTTGCAAGGGTTTCTTCAAGAGGACAGTACGAAAGGACTTGACTTATGCGTGTCGAGAAGAAAGGAATTGTATCATAGACAAAAGGCAGAGGAATCGGTGCCAGTACTGCCGATACCAGAAATGCCTCGCGTGTGGCATGAAGCGGGAGGCTGTCCAGGAGGAGAGGAACCGGGCGACGAGAGGTACCGAAGACGCCCATCCAAGCAGTTCAGTTCAGGTAAGGGAATTCTCGTTCCTGTCTGGATTAAAATCTAGATAGAATGTTCCTTTTTCTTCTCCTTGAACTTTAACTGAACTCCTTGAACTGTAGGAGCTGTATTACGCTTAAAACGTTCGATTTATGACTATTTGAGGTAACCAACTTTCGCAAAAGTTTGGTCTTCAGGTGTGTTACCAAAAATTTCTCATCTTCTTGATGGTGCGATAAGCTATTGATTGCGGTTGCATTTGCAGTAGTTCAAATATTAATTCTGGCTTGCGTGTGGGTTATGACTGGGTGCCCCTTAGTGGTTCAATCAAGAGAGAAAGTTCATAGTCACGTAGGGGGATAGGATGACAGAAGGTATCTGTTTCGCTTTATTCACAAGCAAGATGTCTGCCACATCCGTAGAGTTTGATGAATCATTGTTCAAACGTTTTGAAATCTACTCTTACTATAATCTTATTATTTCTTTTGGGAAAAGTGTTGTGTTAATTAAGTATAATTAAACTCGACTTATTCAAATACGAAAAAGTAAATTAGAATCGAGAGCAATTATCATTCTTTGATGGGTAATTTAGAAATTATCATAAACAACATTAAAGGAAATATCAAAGGGAAACTAAGAAGGCTTAATGGTCCCACTGGTGGGCAATGAGACGTGAAATTAGCTAATTAGCTAATGTAAAGTATTTAAACTTGGCAGTATGACTACACACGAGTTCTTTAATTTATCAGAAAATAGATTTCTCCATCTCTGAGAAGCGTCTGCGTAATATTCTTCTTAAAATTTGAAGCAACCGCTGATAGGACAGAACCTACTATGATAGTTTAAACGATTTATTCTGGTTATCAAATAGGACATGAGAAGAGACAAGTCACTTGCTTCGTGTAACTAAATTAAAAAGGACTCTGATTAATTAAAACGATTGCAATTAAAATAACTCTGCCGCGGCGGACTCGACACAGATTTCTTTGTTTATGGGCGGACCATCGCATCAATCTAGTTTTGTTCGACTTGTTTTCAGCAACACGATGACGTGGCGCAATTTATGAAGGACGAGATTTTGTCGGTATTGAAACCTCGCCATTCTGGTTGTTTTGCGAAAAAAAAATATAATGGTGCCTACAAAGCGTTTCGGTTACGCTTCAAATGGGTATTGAGTAGCGATGACTGGGTATAAAATTTGTATCTTGTTATATAATGTACTTTCGGCGAGACGTTCAGTGTTTATAATATTCGCTGTACCTTACGAAGACGGTTTGACTATCGATTGTATTGTAGACACGCATTAGGGTTGTCAACATTTCATGGGCGAAAAGTAATATTTAAAAAATAAGCTATTAAAATATCTCTTTGTACCCATCCGAGGAACCGAGCGTTAACTAAGAAAAATGCCTTAGGATATACATGTAATATTGATATACATGCTTTAAGATTAAATACATGGAAACATGAAATACATGGAGGATATACATGGATGTACATGCTTTAAAATTAAATTATATTTTATTCAATTAAACTTATTAAAAGCCCTTTTGAATCATTCATTTTTTCCTACCAAACCGTTCAAGATGTCTTTTGGCTGAGAAGAACGAGCGAAATCAACTTACCATATTTACTCAAGTTAGATACTTGTCGCATTGATCGGAAGTTGATGTACTTGTCTGGTGCCTTCATTGATGAAGAATTTATTTGTTAGAATTCGGTGTTAAAATATAGTATTTTTGGTAACTATACATTTCTCCAACACAACATTATGCAAGCCCAAACGGTTGGCAACCCTAAAAAAAACACACAACTATTTTAAATTTGTGTGCATAAAGTCGAGACGCAAGTAGACAAAGACAAGACAATTTTAAAATTATACATTCTAGTAGTGTCTCAGACTTCGTGAAATGTGCAAATTTTAAATAATGTTCCCAATAAGCGCTATGTCATTTTTTAGGCTTCCGTTTTTACCCATAGGGTAAAAATGGGACTCTATTGGGACCTCAGACGGAATGCGGAGCTAAGTCGCATCCCGTCTGAGTCTGTTTTTCACCAGACTGTATCTCATGAAACGTGATACATATTTGGACAGTCGAAATTTTACAAAAGATGCAATTTCTGTTGCCTCTATAATAATTAATAACGAATACACACTAAAAACAGGATAGACTGAATATTTAAAGGGAGCTCCCATAAAAAAAATATATGATTTGATTATGTTCGGAGCCTTTCATGTTCGATTCGTACTTGGCAGTTTTTTTTTTATTTTACTTAACTACTTTTAAGTAAGTACATATAACCGTGCCCCTTATTTAACTTGATTGCTATCATAATTGCCATCTACGAAGTTACATGTTTGATACAATAGATAACGTCATACTAATTTTAAATTATGGTCGGTACAAACTACAATAATTAGTAGAAGTGTACGATAGATTTCAATTATTGTAAATAAATAAAAATATGTTGTGACATGTTGACGTTATAAAAATGGGCATTAATTTCACAAAGGGTTTGATAAAAAGGTCACGCAGGATTAATAACATCAAAGGATTTTGTTTACAATTCGTTGGCCACTCTTATTATCTATATAAAATATTTCATCGAGTGAAATATTAACGGTATTTACGCAGTAGTAGAGTGAAAATTTTTGTAAAAGTAATAAAAATATATATATTTAAACTGCACTTATAATTCAATTTGGAATGTTTGAATTAATATACTTAATTGTGCACTATTACAATGTGGAAGAATAAAAAAAATAACGAAAGCACTAAAAGCACCTCGACTAGATGGCGACTCTAGCAAAAGTTGATTGTTGCAGGAGAGGAATGGACCAAAGACAGTCATTTCCGTTCCTTTTAACTAACATATTAAAAAATTGAAATTTGAATAGTCCGAAACTGGAAAGAAAACCGGAAAGGTTGTCATGGAGAATTCAAGAACGTACCGTAGCGACATTTACTTTGATTTCGGGAAATAATGTTTTTTTTTTAAATACTTCCTCATTGTTTAGAAATAATTACAATAAGTAACAAAACCCAAAAAGCGGCCTTGTTGTTAAAGTAACAATTTCTTCTAAAGTAACAACGCTACATTTGGCCAAAGGAAATTAAATAATTAAGGAAACGGGCAGTGGGTAAGTGCATTTATTGTCAACAGATACATGTTTCGTCCTTCATTTCGTTGCGTGGTATAGTTATAGTGAAAATAAAAATAGTTTTTACACTGATATCATAGTCAAAACTTACTTAAGTACTTGCTGATAGTTACTATTTGGTTAAAATTCTTATTCGTGATGATATGATATAATAAAAAATATAATCAAAAATATTTATCTCATCTCATAAAAACCAGTAATGTATAAATGTAATGTGTGCGCCTTTTCATAAGTACAAATCTGTTTCTGTACCAAATTTTCATTAACATTTAATTTAGTGATTTAGGCGTGAGAGCGTAACAGACAAGAGTTGATTTCACATTTATAATATTAGCAATGATTATTATAAATATATAATACATTCAAATACCAAACAATGTGAATTATTTGTTAAAAAGAAATCCTTTATTCACCAGTTTTGATGGAATATGGTTTCCTTTTAAACCACAACAATTCAGCGTGGGCAGACTAGGGCTGTCAGGGGTGCGTTTGATGTAAATTCAATGTAAAGATGAACAAAATGTAATCTTCATTAACTGTTGTATTTAGTCATCTTTATTATGATTTTTGTATTTATTTATTTTACCTACATCATGTAATTCGATTTTTTATATATTTATCACGCCTTCCAAATTACAGAGTAGATAGAGATAATAATTTTTTGGTCACCCATCCCTTGAAAGTTGCTAAGCAACAATGGTCGTGGGCCGCGGGGCGGCGCTTATCTACTAAGCCACCGAGTTATTCTCTCATTAATAGATATAATTTCTTGCTAAATATCTTCCATTTTAAATTGTCATATATAATCTCGCTTAAATAGATTTCATTGTTTAAGTTTTAACCAAGTTTCAAAGTTTTGTTAGCCCTGGTGGTAAATCATTATAATACCCCCTCCCTTTACCCTAGCAAGGACCTTGAAGCAATTCAGCTCGAATAAGGTTTTATTTGCCCTAAACATTCAATAATAGCAAATAGCCTCGTTTATTGGAATTTAGATTACATCACAAACCTTAGATGTATTGTAAGCGATAGTTCGCCCGATAAATATTGTCTGGGGCATGATTGAATTTCGTTTTATGCGGGATTTTCTGAAATTGAATTTGTGAGATCATCATCAACCTAATGGGAGTGATTTGTCAATACCGGTTTATTTTAGAAATATACTAGCGACCCGTCCTAACTTGACTTTGCAGCAATGTAATTTACATGTTAGTAATCATCTCCCACTCGTTATAATAATGATGACATTTAATGCTCTCTGTCTACCCCGTAAAGAATGTAGGTTAACGAAAGAGATAGACATGCTTCATTTGATATTTTCAACTAACACGCAAAACGAGTTACAGTGATATAATTTAAATAAATGTAAGATGTTCCATGCCGTAACTTTTATTCGAGTAAGCATATTATGGACCAAATATATACATATATATAAAGACCGGGAGGATACAGAAAAAACATAAAAACAAAACAGAATATTTTACAAAAATACAGCTAATATACAGAGCTAGAAAACAAACACACATATTTCTAAGAGCGTAGATGCCTAGGACTTGTCTTTTAAAAGTTAGTAGTTTATCTTTGTTATACTATACTTCAGCCGATTCACACAAATCCCTTAAGAGGGCGCGTATTCCAATAATGATTTTCGATTGGTTTTTATACTAAGAAATAAAGTAATCATAATAATTATGAATAATAAAACTACAAACATAAAACGGAATTTGTAAAAACTTCTCGATGGAAAAAATTACCTCTAAAAGTCTTTATTTGTTTGATTTCTTGTTGTATTTAGATCTCTATCTTCCAATGGACATTAACAGAAATCTGTATGAAAATCCGTTTGATAGATTTTGATTCAAATAGGTACGATGGGGTGACTTTGTTTTAATTTAATAATATCTAAAAGGATAGAGAGTAATTTTGTTCACCCACAATTTACCCTGAATATTTTAATGCTCTAGGAAAATTGTAGCTTGAAATTGAATTTGTGGCTCCGTGGAAAATCTAATTTGTTTTTCTTTGTCATTTCTAAAGAAGGACGAGTTGAAAATAAATAATTCTCGTTTGTTTGTTTACACTGTAGCTAATGTTGTTTGTTTCGTAAACCTATTCAACTAGTTACCTACATATCAACTCTTTGTTATAAGTGCATTAAGATAACGGTGTTTGATAGAATAATATGTGAAAGACGGCTTATTTGTGATAAAAGTTCCAAGAAAAATGTACCGTAAAATAAGAACTAGTAATTTTCAATAATTGCCCCGTTCGCTACTTATACGAGCTTATTTATATAGTTTTGTTTTCACGACAGACCCCGAAAGAATTAAATCTTTCTAATATTATTATAGACTAGCGATCGGCTCAGGCTTCGCACGGGTGGATTTTAGACCTAGCAAATCCAATGGTCGTGATCTTTTCTAGGGTTCCGTACCCAAAGGGTAAAACTTCGCTGTCTGTCTGCCTGTCACCAGGCTGTATCTCATGAACCATGAAAGTAAGACAGATGATATTTTCACTATGGTGTATTTTTGTTGCCGCTTGTTGAAAATATTAATAAAATATAGTCGAGATCGTGATCTTATGACAATTTATTTTTGAAGTATAATTTTAGGTGTTTTACTTTTCATTATACAAGGTCCATAAACAAAGAGTTTCTACAACACCATTTCAACAACAAATACTAAAATCCAGAATAAAAATGAATATTTAAGGGGGTTCCCATACAACAAACGTGTTTTTTTATCGTTCTTGGTATGGAATTCTTTGTGTGCGAGTCTGACTCGCATTTAGCTGGTTTTTTTTTTACAGATATCTTTATTATTAACCGAATTTCACTTATGTTGCACAAATGACCAAACCAATATTTTCCGCTAAAAGGTAAAAGTATCTTTTCACTTTAATAAACTCACTTTCCGTTCTTCCATCAGGAACTGTCGATCGAGAGACTACTTGAAATGGAATCGATAGTGGCAGACACGAGCGAGGAGTGCCAGTTCCTTCGGGTTGGCCCTGATAGTAATGTGCCGCCCAAATTCCGCGCCCCGGTCTCCAGCCTTTGTCAGATAGGTGAGTACTTTGACGCCCGATACAACGGTACAACAACAAACATTAAGGTACTGGTTAAACAAATAAAATTAGATGCGCCATTTGGCAATGGTTAGATGATTTTGAGAAGCTTGAGATCAATATCTTTAGTCACATATCAAATAACTGGCCCTTGCAAAAATTGCTTAATATCTGGACCACAGACCAAATGTGCTTACCACTGCGCCATTATTGGTTACCTAATGGCGAAATTGCTTGTTAAGTTCAGTCAACGTTAGAAAATTCATTGAAGATTGTGGTTGTAAATTCCAGCATGCAGCCGGGATGGATAGCTTCATTTGCCTTCCAAAGCATGTAGGAGATCAGTCACCCAATTTTAAATTATGACATTGACAATACACGTTGTTGCAGAACTTGAACCGAATGTAAAATGTATATTTAGCCATTGAAGTGTGAAGGACATATTAGGCTCTTATCATACACTAGAAATGTATGTATTACTTTCTTCTTCTGATGATAGCTTTTGAACCCAGAGGTGATAAAACTATCATCAGACGGAAATGATAATTTATTTCAGAGATAGGTACCGGTCTGGTATATATTTAGTAGGTACAATTTTATTTATTACAATAAAAGCATGACAACTGTACAGAGATATAGTTGAAAATAAAGGTATTGTTTAAAATTAACAACTCATTTAATAGAATCCACATTTCCATATTTAAAAGTGCGACTGTAAAAAGTTTGTGGAATTGGCAAGGTCGCTTTTGATATGATCGATCGCCACACGCTCGAGGAAAATAATAAACCGAATTCAGAGAATTACTGTTTAGGTAAAGGTACAACAAAGAGATTCATTATCGATATAGTCGAGATATCGCGTAATTTATGTAATCGTGAGTCAGCAACTGTGTTGTGTTTAGTTCATTTTGTTTGCGTTTTAGTGTAGTAAGTTGCGTTCCATAGCTATCATACTTCTTTCCGACAGGATTTAGCTTAAGATTCAATTCTCATTTGTTGGGTCACTGCTTTTATTCATACTTATTTGATTTAGTACCAAAGTTTTGGAAGTACGGTCATAGGATGGACGATAAAACATTTATTATTTCCAGCTTTTTAGTGTTTCGAAAGGCATGTTAAGCCGTTGGTCTGCACCTGCAGTCGATAACACTTCAATCGACAGGGCCCGCGTAGAGACCTCGTGCTCCCTTTTTTCATTCTATTAATAGTGGAGGCCTGTTCCCCAGCATTAACGATATCAATAGGCCGATGATAATGATGATGAAAATGAACCCAATTTTTGGTAATGCGTAGTCTCTGAAGCCGGCAAGTTTGAACTTCGTAGTGCAGTCAGGCTAACTCGTACGAGAATAATTCAATTCGATTAGATCCTCCTGATCGTTGCTTAATCACCCGATGATATCATCCAGAGTCGATAAAAAACCGGTGTCGGATAAATGTATTGCCACTGGAGCACCCGACATTTCATCGGACTCGACCCCGAAACTCGACAAAACGGGAGTGCAATTCTATATAACAATTTTTGGCGGCCGTCGCATTTACTAAATAGGTTTAAACGGCGATTCTGTTTCCTAAAAAAACCGGTGAAGTGCAAGACGAACTCGCACCATCATTACATAGTATAAAACAAATTCGCTTTCTCTGTCCCTATATCCGTATATATGCTTAAATTTTTAAAACTACGCAGCGTGTTTTGATGCAGTTTTTTTTTCATAGATAGGGTGGTTCCTAAAGGAAGGTTTTTATGTACAATATTATACAAGACCACGCGGGCGAAGCCGCTTGCGGCAAGCTAGTTATCTATAAAAACGCAATAAAATCATGTTTATTGTTTATAAATTTCTGTATGACATATAAAAGAAAAAAGCGTAATCATTGCGAGATTATAAATAAGCGACTGCAATTATCATTACTGAGTTCGAATGGGAAATACTGATTTGAAATTAATTTTCCGGGTTATATTTTAGTAACTCTCGTGGGGTGACACAGACAAGAGATATTAATAGATTATCAATGAAATAACTCGAGGAAGTCTAGCAAGGAAATTAGCCCTTGCGAAGACGGCGCACCAGTTATAATTCGCACAAACTGATTTGATACTTTAGGGCCTACTCTATTTGTCAACGAACGACAATTCGGAAAATTTCGAATTTTGTTAATATTATATCCATAAAGATTATCTGTGCATCAGAGGCAGTGTCAGGTCCTACCTCCGTTGCGTCATAAATCATCTAAAAATTATTTCCTTTGGAATTTTTCGAAAATAGATGAAATTTCGTTTTCGCAGAAATGGAATAGGGCTTTAGGTGTTACGATAATTTCTACGAGTAGAAACGGAAAAACGAAATTGTATGTTGTTTATACATACTGTTGTTGCTGCTAATAAGGATATATAATTTCTCTAAATTAAAAATAAAATTGGCGACCCCACGATCATAGCTAATCGATAGATCCTATAGTAATATTTACTTATGGGGCAAGAATATAAAAAAAAAGAACATTTTCCATCGTCGACTGATAGTGATAGGTACTTTAAAACCACAATAGAACCCAACAACACTAATTTATGCATACTGTGATCATTCATCTCGTTTTTTATAGATTCGCGACGGACATAGAGTGCGAACTATATCTATTTTCTAGTTTATTTTCATTGCAACGACTGATTCAATTCTACTCGACCTCCACTCGGTCCCTATGTTTTTATTTAGCACACACACATCACGTTACTCGCAATATAAATACTGTGCAGCATAAAAAAAGACTAAAACAACGTAGGATATGTATTATGTACATAATTATGATAGTATAATAACACGAAACTGGTTTACGATGGCGTCGTCGTTAGTTCCACCAAAAATTCCGTCTTCAATATTTTTATCTGGGAGCACACTTAAGGTTCGTTAAGCTTATCTGATTACTTTTGTTTTTTTTTTCTTCTCAATGTTATCAACTAGCTACCTGCCCCGATTTTGCACGCGATTTGTATATAGTGAGCCACCAAGTCAGAATAATTTTGTTCTCACATTTTCAACAATCTTCGTCATACATATCACATTTGAGCCAATTTACACGAAATATTAATGAATTGTACATACAACAAAATCATGTATCACTCTGACTTTTGTGGTAGATTGGCTTACACGCGCATTTTTAGGTGTCGCCATCTTCAAGGTCTCAGGTTTGATTCTCAGTCTGGTCAGTATAGCAAAACAACTTATCCATGTCTCCGAATAAGCAATTCACTTTTCTTGTCGGAGTTAGTTTCGCCAGTTCTTCTCAGCGAGACTCCCAAATTTGGAATTGGTGGTTAGATTACAGCAGCCAGGGGTAAATAAATGAGTCAAATGTATTTTTAAAATTATTTTATTTAATAAATGTAAACCTTTCCATTTTTTATATAATGTGAATGTCTCCAATAGTATTTTTTTTGAAGGTAGCTATACTCTTAATTAAAAAGACAATCAAGTTGTTTGAATAGTAAGAATATTAGTTTTTGACATTATCTTATCTCAATAATATTAAAAATCAGACTGAAGCGACTGAGGGACTTATCCAATGAAACGAGGGTTTAAATTGTTCATGTGCTTCAATTAGGTTAATATTTGCGTGATTAATTTTGAAATCGTCACCTCGTTCCACTTTTGTGCACAACAAAGAGGGTGTAAATATATTCGTATATTAAATGCATGTTCTGCGAATTTCACATTGTACAGATGGTGGAAATTGTTAATGAATGTTTATTGTGATCTTCTGCGGAGCCTTGTTTACTCCGACTGTACATTGTTTTGACTGAGATCTCGACTCTTGACTACTTGCAGTGTATTTATCGAGTAAGTTTTAATTAATGCTCTAATTGAAAAGCTTCTTAGCAGTTCTATGTTTTGCAAATATTATTAAATTATAATATTTTGCTCTAATAAAGAAAACGTGTTATGAAAAGAGGTATTTATCAGACATATTTTTTTTTATTAAATGAGCGAGAATTTACTTCGCCGACCTTAATTTTGTAGTATTAATATTTACTGCTCAGCTTTATTAAGAAGCTTCTTCAAACTGATAACCGCCTTCTAAATTTATTGTTTTTGGATTTATGTTATATTTAGTTATAAATTTGATGCAAATATATTTTTTTTTATACTATCATTTATTATTGATTTCTTATTCTTTTTACAATAATAACGATCAAATTTTTTGATATACATATAAGGGACCATTGTTTTTTTAATAAAAGAAAGATATTAACATAACATCATATCGAAATTGGTTCATACTCATAAGGAATCCGTCAGCAGTTTTTTACCGCATTTCAAAGTCACTTAAAAGATTTCCAACAAAAAATAATTACCACAGTTGGTATTACTTATTGTCTTGGATGAAATTCCGAAGACGGAAAATAAAGTAGTTGTCTATGTATGTAATACAGTAGTTGTTTATGTATGTAATAGAGTAATTGTCTATGTATGTATGTGTAAGAGTGTGCCATACCACCGTTTATTTCGTCCTAGGTTTCCGCATGTAAACTTTTTGTCTTTGATATTCAACATCATGTCTTTTTATTATTTACCTTTCGTAATTTGAAATGTTGACTAATCCAATATGCTCTTTATATATAATGTCAGTATGTAAAAAAATCATCTGGTGCGAATATGATCATGTAATCATTTAGATTTAAATATAGATTTTTATAATAATTAGGTTATTATAATTTAACTAAGAAATTGTTAATCTAAAATCTTATATCTATATCTTCATAAAATATCGTCACAAATATACATAACAGGAAACCCAAAATATGTATTTGTTCTATTAAATAATTGTAATAATATATTTAAGTTATTATCATTCGAGTTGTTTTTAATATTCATTTTTTATTTGTTACAGTTTTTTCTTTATGTTTTTCTTTATTATCGTAAAATAAAATCAAGTTCTCAAGTTTACCCGTCTCATATGTAAGACTGTATAATAAACATCGCCATCTTTCATTCATTTCATTTCAATTTTACATGTAGAAATTAATTTATTCACTTGACATTGGCAGAATTGTGCGAAATGCGCAGATAAGCCATTAATAAAAGAAGAAGAAGAAATTGCTGATTAATATTAAAGATTTAAAAAATTGAGGCGAAATTATATTAATGGCTAAATGAATAGAAATCCTATAATGTTAAACAAATTTTGGGCATGTAATATTAATGATAATAATATGTTCGTTTAAATTCTTATAATTGTTTTTTGTATTAATGTTATACCTATATGCATGCTAATAAAATAAAGAATATCGAAACATGTCGAATTACCTATTCTATAAAATCTTAAATACCATGTTTGAAGCAAATAAAGATATTCTATTCTTATAGAATAATGATCTTTCTCGTGACAACAGTCAACAAATAGAATTATGTAAGGCCTGGAATATAAATTATACCAGCATATGTTTAAAGCCCACTTGAAAATAAGGAAAATGCGTGCATATCAAAATGAAATATGCAATAGGTAACCATTCTATGCATAGGTACTACAGTGGAGAAAAACAACCTTTTTTTTCTCAGTATATTATTCAAAACAACTGCGTCGTGTTGTGACATTATTTTCGTAGGTAGATTTTATATGGAAAAGTTTTTTTGGTCTTGTCGTGCAAAACATACAGGTCTCACCGTGAATTCATTATGCAGTGCAATGGTTATATTGGGATTATCTCGATCTAAATATCTTTATTTATTTATTTAAATTAGGTACACTTATAGATTACAGTCAACATTAGACTTCGAATAATATTGGAGATTAATTAGACTAGATAATAATTCGAAATCAAACACTACACAGCATGATTTACTAAAATTTATACAATGCTAAAAAAATACTTTATATTTTTAGACTAGTTTTCCGCCCGCGGCATAGCCTGCGTGGAACTCGAAAGATCCCAAAAACTTAGTAGAAATATTAATGTGCTTCCTGTCCAGTGCCTAAAAAAGAAATTGGGTGTCTGGGGGTCATCCATAAGTTATGTTACACAAAATTCATGATTTTTCGCCGCTCCCCGGTCCTTGTCACAGCTGGTAACATTTGTGAATCACCAGTTTGACGACACACATTTTGAAAATTTGTATTTAGAAATTATTGAATGAAAGGCCCCTTTTTATTTTCGACGATGAGAACACTTCATACAAATTTTCATCCCTTATTTCAAACCCCTTTAAACCTATTTTTCGTGATAAACACTATTCTACATTTTCTTAAAGACCACTCAGTGATTTCGTTAAAATTGGTTGAGTTGTATTTTATTTATGATTCTCTTTTGGTATTAAAATTTTTATACTGGATTTTTTCAGGTAACAAGCAAATAGCAGCGCTGGTGATGTGGGCGCGTGACATTCCACATTTCGGACAGTTGGAGCTTGAAGACCAGGTGCTTCTTATCAAAAGTGCCTGGAACGAGTTGCTTCTGTTTGCTATCGCGTGGCGGTCTATGGAGGTGCGTATCAACAATATCAACACATGCTGACGCTAATGTTGATCTCGTTGAATTGTTTAAATACAAACAAATCCTGCCCGGAAATTATTAGAAAATGTAGAATGTTATTTTGCGAGCCCGAATCTCCAATTTTTTCCAACCGGCCCAGAAACATGATAATTTGATGTTTGTCCTATCGTAGTCTATGATTTTTTTTTAACTGTATTATATCAGGCCCTGTTATTTTGATTAAAACACAAGTTGTTTCTTAAACTGTTTCTTATCTTTAACTCCAAGTGAGTTGGGCTCTGTCTTGCCTTAAGCGCATACGAAGACTTGAACATCAGCAATAAAAGTCAGCATCGATTCTTGCTGATGCGGATGCATGTTGATGATATTAAAAACAATGCGCATAATCCGCGGATGTTGATGCTGATTGTTGACGACAGCCACGCGCCTCAATATTGTACAGATCAAGCGACCAATCACAGCGCCTACATTTTGTCATTTTTCGTGAAGCTCATTGGCCGCGGAAGCCACGTCCACCCGGTGGTGATGATTACGCACGGGCGCAGAACGCGCTGTGATTTGGTCAGTCGTCGCGCGTTATTAGTATCTAGTTGAAACACTAGAATAAAACAACTCAATGAACACTGCTAATTTTTTTAAATGAAATCATGGACTGGACTGGTTTGGATTGGACTGTATTTATAAGGATTTCATTCGTATTTTATATGTGAAGGGATTGTGAAGGAACAGCCCAAGGCTTTACTGCACTATAGCACTTCAAGAATAAGATGAAAATGTGAGCAAAATTTTTCAAGTCGCTAAATGCATGTAAGGTGATTAAAGGTGATTAATGAATATATTAAAGGACACAATAACACTGTGGGCCCATACTCATGACTGCCTTCACAATCTGCGGTATTCTGAATAGATTTAGTAATTGATGATCGTATGAAATGGGCAAACCATATCGAAACTGTCCTGCGATTCTATAAAAATCCAAACCCTAATTCGAATTCACTCAGGTGCCCGAATTCACAACAAAAAGCGTTAATACCAAAATTTAAGATTCACCGCTCAATCTTAAATTTTGGTAATAACGTTTCGTGGCATAAGTGAAGTGAGTTCGAAATAACATAGGAATAGAATATCTGAGACACGTATGATCACTCAATTTTGTTTTGTATTTTAAACAAAAAACGGAATCGAAATAGCATTTCTTCACAAAAATTACATGGAATTCTGCATCTTTACTTTACTTTTTGCCATAAACTAAGAGCTATCATGGCAAAGTTTTGTCTCATTAGGAGTAAAGTGCCTTATATCGGGTTGGCACAAAAGTAATGAGACACTTGGTTTAAGTTTTTACTTTTTTATTATTATTACAATAAAAAAAGTTTAGTCAATGATGTAATTACCATTAGTATCTAAGACTTCTTGCCAACGATCCGGCAAAGTTTGGATGCCTTTTGCCCAGAGCTCTGATGGCTGTGCCTCGAAAAAGTTGTTCAACTCCGCCTCTACGTCAGAGATATCATCAAATTGTTTACCCCGCAAATGCTGTTTCAGGGCTCTAAACAAATGATAGTCTGATGGGGCGAGGTCTGGGGAATAAGGTGGGTGGGGTATCATCTCCCAGCTCAAGTTCTCCAACTGCCGGCGAACCACAGATGCGACGTGAGGTCGAGCGTTATCGTGCAGTAAAACTACATTGACTCGTCTTCGTCGTTTTTTCTTGATAGCGGCAGATAATTTGGTAAGCTGGGTTGAATATTTGTCAGTGTTTATAGTTTCATTGTGTGCTCATAAAACAGTATGCCTTGCGCATCCCAGAAACAGCAAAGCAGAATTTTTCGGCGGTTCTTTTGACTCGGCTTCGGTTGAGTTGGTGGCGTTTCTTCTCGAGGCAGCCAAAAAGCATGACGTGTATCGTTCTCGTAATAAATCCATGATTCATCTCCAGTAACCAGATCTGACAAAAATTCATTACGTCGGGGTCGCAGCAAAATGACTGACAGATAGCGACACGGACTGCACGACTGGCGTCTGTAAGGATGTGCGGTACCCACCGAGCCAAAACTTTTCGATAACCAAGCTCATGCAGATGGTGTTCCACGGCGTGGTGACTGCATTTAAGTGCTTCCGCTAATTCACGAGTGGTAGCATCCGGATTCAACTGCAATTCGCGGCGCAAATCGTCATCATTCACTGCGGGTGGTCGCCCTGAGCGTGGCTGACTTTCAAGGCTCCCGTCTCCTGATTTAAAACGGTCAAACCATCGGGACACCGTCGCATGGCTTGTACTTCCAGCGCCTAATGCATTGTTGATATTGTCAGCCGCAGCCCGCGCACTGTGGCCTAACAAGTACTCGTATAAGTATAGTGTTCGAACTTGTCGCTCGTCCATTTTTCTTCAAACTGACTAAACAAATCGCGACCGCGGCTTTATATACCCTACACCAGAAGTACCTAGAATGTTCTACAACATTCTAGAATATTATCGAAAAAAATGATTTTAAAAAGGAAATGTTATAGATTTTTCTAGTGTGTCTCATTACTTTTGTGCCAACCCAATAAAATGTTGTTGACACTATATCGCACTCGGGAGTCAATTCTATCTTACGGCCTGAGTAGTTACGAGCGCTCTTACAGGATAAAACATAAATATACCTCGATAAAATATACGAACTTCAGTAAAAAAAAATATTAAAAAGTAAGGTTCCTTATAGAATCAAAGAAAAATTCTCAAAAGACCCCTTGGGTCACTTTCACTATTGTGATCTGTCGCCTTTACATGATAAAATAAAATATTTGCTGATAATGGGAAATTATAATAAAGACGAACTCAAAGTTATTCGCACATACGCATTAAATCCAAAGTTTATAGTACCAAATTACATAAATAGTATGGAAATATCGAATAATTTAATAAATTTATTAAACTAAAAAAAAACTGATAAGCTAGTGACAACTAAATAACTTTTAATCGATGAATTAATAATTACAAATGCATGTCCTTGTACACATAATAATATTTCGGTAAAAAAACTTATTTATTTATAACTAATATGGCATATTTATATTTACATGTTAAATGATACAAATAATAACCACGTTATTTACAGTTATGTTGTTTCTACAAACTTGTATATATTATGACACTTTAGAAACATTCCGTAAATGCATTATGCGAGACTTGACATGCAAGTTGCTAAACGTGCAATGAACGGATTCTGTACGAATCGTCGGTACATTGAAAATCTCTTGCAAGTTCATCTTGTACCGTTCAGTTAAAATAAACTATTGTATTTTTTTGTGAATAAATATATATTTATATTTTTTGTTTCAGTTTTTAAATGACGAACGTGAAAATATGGATGCTTCACGCAACGCACCACCGCCCCAACTTATGTGCCTGATGCCAGGTCAGTACCAAACAAATCTACAAATAAATATAGATGGTTCACGCAACGCATCACTGTCCCAACTTATGTGCCTGATGCCAGGTCAGTACCAAACGAATCTACAAATAAATATGGATGCTTCACGTAACGCATCACCACCCAAACTTATGTGCCTAATGCCTGGTTAGTTTTAAACAAGTCAGTATCAAACATATGTACGAATAAATATAGATGCTTTACGCAACGCATCACTGCCCCAACTTATGTGCCTAATGCTGGGTCAGTACCAAACAAATCTACGAATAAATATGGATGCTTCACGTAACGCATCAGTAATAATATTCAGAGTAGGTTTCAACTGATGTGACTCACCGATGTACGTGCAGAAAGCTAAATTTGTTTTTTTAGAATTAAAGAAATTGATCCTCTTTAATCATTTTCTTATACATGATTAACGTGATTAATGATTAACGCGTAACATTCACCGCAAGGAAAGCTCTCAAAAAGTAAAATATTCTCCCGTATTTTCATCATTATTCATTGCTGCTCTATTCCTATTAGTCATAGCGTGATGATGGACCTCGATAAATGGACTATTAAAAACAAAAAAAAAAAAAATTCGCCCTAGTAGTTTCTGAGATTATAAAGTTCAACCAAATAAACAAATTTTCAGCTTTATCATTAGTATAGATATAAAATTTTGTGCATCGGATTACTAATTTTTCCTGTATATATAAAAAATATAAATAATCTTTAGTAATTTGTCAAACCATCTGCCAATGGTTATTGAGTAATTATACATATGTTTTTAATTATTTTCAACTACATGGTTATTATTCGATTAAAAGTTATACATAATTGGTTGTGTCTACTGCACTATTTTCTAATCGAAAATGAACCGAACCATCAATTTACCACTCAAGTGTATCAGTATCTATTGTTTGCACTATAATTTGTGACAAGTTATAATATACAAGAGCAGAGGGAATGATGTCACCGCAATTTTTACGGTCTCACGTCTTTAGTAATTGACACTTAATTTTTGTGTGTTCGCGAATATCTACTTTAATATTGGTCTGTGGACATTCTTGTCTGCATATTGACAGTAATATCATTTAAATGTTTCAGTTTAATTATTAAAAGTTAACGGTCTGAAAATTCAATAAATAACACATTAATTTATAGCCTAATGGCTGGGTGGGTCATAGGCCTTCTCTATGTATTGTATTAAATCGAATAGGGAGAATGACCAACCACGCGGACCGCACTGGGACCGCATTGCTGGGTGTCACAGAGAATAACGAGATAGTATATATTTGGTCACCGATCGAATGCTTTTTAACGTCTGTCCGTGACCGTGCTAACCACTGCGTTTATCGAGCACCTTAAAATATATTATTATTTAAATTACATTTAAAAATAACTATTTTTTTTTTAATTTAATGGAAATCCGGATCCGGATTCTATTTCACAACTGGGCCTATAGGATAGTAGCCTATAGCGGTCCATTAGGTGATCGATCTGGATCATGATCAATTCAAAGTTGTGGATCTAATATGGAGTAGCCTGTCAGGTACATTATTGAAGAATATTAAACACGTTTTTTTTTTCGTAATCAATAAATTACGGCGATAAATTGAATTGAAATGTCGTATGACGTCACACCTTTGTACACAGTTGTGACGTCTCGATTTTAATGCCCATTATCTTAACAATTTTTTGCTTTGAAGGCTAATATTTTTATTATCTAAAACATAATATATCTATATATTAAAACTTCACCAACTTGTAACTTATACCAAACATACATGACACTACCACACGACACTACTCAAAACTACCGGCATAAACATGTGTTACTAATCTACCTGCATGCTTTATAAATATTTTATAGAATCAATGAAATGCTAATGTTCTTTTTCATTTTTAAAGGCTTGAAATAATTTATATGTAATTGTAAAATAATATGTATTACAGCTATAGAAGAATATTGATGTGTAAGAAACACATTGCTCTAATAATATAGGACTTTAGGTAAATAGTACAGTGGCAAAATGCAAGGTGTTGAGATCCTAATGTGATGCGATTATTACGTAAACATGTATGTCATGTTGTATAATCTATCTATATATAAATAAAAATGAATTTCCGTTCGTTAGTCTCGCTAAAACTCTAGAACTGCTGAACCGATTTGACAAATTTTATTCTTGAAATATTCGTGGAAGTCCTGGGAAGGTTTAAACGATGAGAAAATATAATAAAATTGAGAGTATAATACTATAAACGAAAATTTAATTTTCCCATACAAACTGTTCTTAGCTGTCAAACGTTGAGTTGACGAGCAATATTTATGGTCGTGCAGTGGTCAGTTTACGCAATATTTTTCAATATTAATATGGTTTTTATTAAGAGGTAAGATACGAAGTTCACCGGGTCAACTAATATTATATATTATTGTATTGCAGGCATGACGCTTCATCGCAACTCTGCGTTGCAGGCTGGTGTCTGTCAGATATTTGACCGTATACTATCGGAGCTATCGCTTAAGATGCGCCATCTGCGAATGGACCAGGCCGAGTACGTCGCACTTAAGGCCATTATCTTGCTCAATCCAGGTAACATATTTTATGACAACATCTACTTAATAATAACATGTATGCATACATAGGTTGTTTCTCGTGTAAATTGTAGACAATGCCATCCGCGTATGCGTTTTTTTTTTGTGGAAAACAAATCAAATCTGTTAAACAATACTTAAACGATATCTGGTCACCAATTACATACTTTCATAGATTAGATCGATTTTAGTGAAAAGAAAAACTACATTCACTCATTTAAAACAACTAGTACTAGTTCTCTGTTCGCGAATCGAATTTGTTTAAAAATAAAACATTATTATAGATACCGGCTATTTAGGTCTTTATCATCGTATGTCTTATCGTTTCATATCGTTCTTAATGTTACACCTGTATAGAATACCTACTTTCAACGCTTACGTATTATTTTGGGTCGTTGTCCATTTTTTCGTCTGCCTTAGGAACCGACCTTTAGGGATTTCAGTAATATAGCTTGACCATATTAACCTTTGTCTTTCGAAACATAAATAATTTTTTGACCAACTATCCAACCAATGAAGTTAAAGTAAATCATCTATTTTTCTATTATATACAGAAACTAATATTTTGAATTGTATAATGTTTCAGATGTGAAGGGCCTCATCAACCGCCAGGAAGTTGAAGTTCTTCGCGAAAAGGTAATAAACAGGGCCTACCCCTTTATTCGATTTTGTAGGCATTCGAGTCATTCAAAATACACTTAGTATTCAATATTGTATTGTACGTCGTGTGCAATAATTTAATCCGTAATATTGAACGTCACATATTGTGTCTATTAATTACCGTTTTAATCGTTTTGATTGAATTCGATACCAACCAAGTGAAAGTCGATCGATTTATTCCTCAGGCGTGTCGTGAGTTCCAAATGAACTAGTGATTTTTTTTAAATATTTTTGTATATGACATTAGCTCACTCGGGGACCTTCGTACCCAGGGGTGGATCGTGAATTTATGGGGCCCTGGGCTAATAATAAACAGGGACGTCTTTTCTGAAGTTGATAGTAATTACTGAAGTAATTGTAATTTTGATAAGAAACTGTTTTCCATAGTACCTAACGTAAAAGTGCCATATTGTATATTGTTTTTTTTGGGGGATGAGGGCTCTTTTATATCTACGGGGCCTTGGGCTCAAGCCTGCTAAGCCTTAAGGTTGATCCGCCCCTGTTCGTACCGCCATATTTTATTTCTCCAAACGTCTTTTTAAATTTTCTTATAAAAAAATCCTTGTCCTGAAAATAAGGACCACATAAAAAAGGATTACTTTTTGCATTCATTCCGAAATTATGCGCGTACATTTCGGAAATTCATTTTTCTATACTTAGATTGTATTGATTTCAGATGTACTCGTGTCTGGACGAATATTGCCGGAGGTCACGCGGCACGGAGGAGGGCAGGTTCGCTTCCTTGTTGCTGCGTCTGCCGGCACTGCGATCCATATCACTCAAAAGTTTCGAGCATCTGTTCTTGTTCCACATACTGGCGGACTCCAGCATCGCCACTTACATACGCGACGTTTTGAGACACCACGCGCCGCCCATAGATGGCGCCGCACTTGTATAGGATATCGCCGTCGTTACGTGCACGTAGTACACTCGTCGACCGACAGATGGCGTCGCAGTAGTGTAGGACAACGTCGCCAACACATGTACGTAAATATACTCTGCGGCTGATAGATGGCGCCGTACTAGCTATAGGACATCTCCGACGTCACGTGTACGTAATAAAATCGGCCATAAACGGATTGGAGATTACATTATAGTTTATCTGGAATATTGAGATCTTTTGTAAGTGAAAAGGGAAAGTATGGCACTAGTATTAAAAAATGTCCTTATTATTAACACCGCTTACTTACACGTCTATGATAAAATATGCATTGCACTTGAGCAAGTGAAACAAAGAAATTAGATGAAGATTATTTTAGATTGAGAACTATTTAAAGGTAATTATTTACCATCGATGGTGACTACTAATTTCCACTTGCCATTTACAGAAGGCCAGTACCGCTCTTCCCTTTTCATTTTAAACAAAGTCAGCATCTCGTGATCTTCGGAGGAACAAAGTTAATGTAATTGTTAATCTGATTTATATTTTGCCCATCTCCGAGTACAGTCACATCTATAAATGTTATATTAAATTATATTACCAATGTTAAGATGCAGTCGAGGTGTACAAATTATTCCGTTATGTTCAAAGTAATCACAAATACTCAGAATGTGTTGCTTGAAATAAAAGAGGTCATCGATTTGAAAGCTTTAACATAAGCATATATATTTGATTACTTTGATTTTGTCATACATTGATTCTTGGGTCGCTACAGAACATTCGCCGTGGAATTGCTATATAACAAGAGTATCAACTTAGATTATAATTGAATTATTAAGACTTACAGCATAACAATATATAAAAGTCTTTCTCTATGAAATTTATAATCTTGTAAGGCTAAAATCACGTCAATATAAAGTAATTTTAACTAAGCTTAAGTTCTATAGTAGCTTACGAATCATTTTCTTTGACTATGTCTATACATTTTTGACAGTAGGTCAGTTTTTTTGCACACAAAATAATGCGTTAACTAGGGCTCTCTTAAAATATCTTATGAAATGTTGCCACGACGCGTTGTGGTCGAATGGCATGATAGTAACGGTACAAATTCTTAGATATGGCCGTGTGAAAGAAATCGGAAGTTTAATCTAGGACACAGTGACGACAATGCGTTGTGAACCGTATTACCATTGTCACAAAAACTATTATCAAATGTAAATCAAATTTGCATCGAGCACGTTTCCGTAGTCAAACTTCGGTATTGATACAGCGCCATCTACCTCCAATTACATTTCCAATAAGAAAATGACATTTATACTCGTTACTAATTTCGATTCACACTAGATGATTTTTTGTGTTTATTTTTTAATATTTGGAGCTTGATATACATTTATATGTGACTGTACAATATTAACCTTAAAATTTTATGATTTTCGACCTGTTATATCTCTGCCTATGAGATAATGGGATATTAATCGACAGTGAAACAGAAATAAACGCATATACACTGTCTTTTCGTATATCTTTGACAGACTGTTGAACCTTTGCGTACGCGTAATTAAAGTGCAACACATTAGTGTTCACATTAATTATGACTTCACTTTATCTTTATGGAAAGAGTCCGATTGTCATTCCAACGCAATATGCATATTACTACTAAATAATGTAAAATTGAAAAGCAATTCAGGTTATACTGTTTTAAACCTTAAATACTTAGTATACTTCAAATTAAAAAGATATTTATTAATCTAATATGCTACTGTGTACATGATACTTTTACATAAATTGCTCTCAAGGCGACTATGATGGTAAAATTAAATATATATTAACCCTATATGAGACTATGCGCTTTATAATTGATCTTATTTGACGATGGTTTTTACACCTTATGTTGGTTCAATTGTGTAATTAGTTAACATTATTGTTGTTTAATTTGCCATTTAGGGTTTAGATAAGAAATATTATGTATCTTTGTTGTAAAATGAATTCGTAATTGTTTTTTTATAGTGAAGAAAAAATGAACGGCACTTGTCCAAATATAATAGGTACATAATGCTTTAACATGTTACCCTGATTTACATTCAATAAGTACAGAGACTGGCGAGTTCTCTTTGTCTTTCAAATGGCAACTTGACTCGCCACCGTAATTGTTGAAGTGTAAATGGGGCTCGAGGCTCGTTGTTTATGTTAAAATCGATCGTGTGATAAGACGTGACAACTTTACATCAAACTATTCACCAGAATAATAGTATGTTAAATTTGTATTGTTTTGCAATTCAATATTTGTTTGCAATTCTATATACACGACTCGACGGCGTGAACGATTTTCGTATAAATAAACGAACTTTGAACGATTTGCGAAAAAAACGTTGTTGTGCCTACGCAGATGACACCGCGCGACCTCTAGACATGTTTTTTAAGATCGTTTGTAAGAGGTTATATGTAAGTCACTAATTCAACATCATTTGAAATTGGAATAGTCTAAAGAGTCGGGAGGCGGATAGATCGATCTAGTATCGATTCTTTATTGTCGCTAGAACAATTTTTGAAGCCCCAAAAGTGACTGAACTATCATAAAGGACAATACAGAAGTGTATGCAGACCGCATACTCGATGTATAATTTGTGTAATTATGAGACGCGGCGCGCGTCTTGTACTCCAGCGCGTTAGTTAATGTAATTGGGGCCGCCTCTAATTATTACGTAGTTTTATATTAATCTAATTATTTTCATTTATTAGAAAATTCTATTTGTCAGTAGATTGTCTATAGTGAATTATTGTAGTTGTAATTTTAGACTGTATGTGTAACTAATCATGTACCAAAACTATTTAACAGACTGTTTATGTCAAATTATGCCCAGATTCAGATTTTTTTGATGTAATGAGAAATTATAAATTTAATCTTTTCAATTGCTCTTTTATACATAATCACCATATACATAATGTTGGTGCTTTTATATCCGAATAACTGCATTATATTTTTAGTATTTTTTTTTCTACCTTCTCCATGGCTAATTATAAGTGGTTAATAGCATCTGTAAATATAACTATATACATGTAAAATACAGTTTTAAACGTTCTCGTATACATAACTTATACATAGTTTTATTGGACCTCACCAGTAAACGGTGGTGGGTTTAGTAGGAAGATTAGAAATGGCCTATGTAGTCGAATCCGTACATGTAGCACCTTTAGGCCAGTTTATTTTTTTATATCTCATGATTTATTTCAAACGATTTACTAACTAAAATTAACCAGTATTAATGAACGTTGAATACAAGATGAAATTATTCGGATTTTTATTCACAGCAAGTAATATTTGCGACATTGTGTTTAGTTAAATGATGAATTCTGTCAAATGGTAATGTACTATTTCCTGGTTATTCTTGAACATTGAATGTAGTGGAGAGCTCAAATTTGTCTAGGGATATATTGTTTATTCGAAGTAAGATTAGCCTAGACTAGAATAATCCCAAATATTCACTTATAAATTAGTAAAAAGAAATTCACTACATTCTTCTAGTTCGTTAAAAAACAGTGTTTTATGTTGTGTCTGAAAACAATGTTGCATGATGATATTATTCTATGAATGGGTATTGAGAATTTATGAAGGTGTTGCAGCGGTTGTGAGATGATTTATAAAGATGTTCACTATATCTAAGTTTAAGTTATATATTTTTTGTATAGACATAGCTTAAGATGAATGGTAATAAAACCGATTATCATCACAAATGTATCGTGTTTTATTTAACCCGTGGACTAGTAAAACTAAAATATAGAAATATTAATTTATTACTGTGGTTATTACATAGTCTATGTTTACAATATGATAACATAACATCGTTATATTGTAAAATAAGGCACAGCCAAGCGAAAAGTAAAACCGTACATTAAATACACATGAGATACATAATTGTATACTATTAATAAAAATATTTGTGTAAAATTGAACTTATAACTACTAAAGATATAATATATCTTATTTGTTAAAATGAGACGATTCCATTGATTCAAACGCCTCCAGTTTGACATCAATTCTGAAAAATATAAGAGAAAAAAATATAAGTGATATATGATTAGTACAAAAATTAATCGAACGTGTGAATGGGCATAACAACTGGCCCAAATAAAATTGGAAATTCATTTAAAATGTATGTAAATTTTAATTGATACAATTATTTTATAGTCATCAGTGTGTTTTCTATACCTTGTATAAATAGGTCATGTATATTTAACAATGTGAGATGGGTTATCACTAAAGTGTTTTCCCTAGGGGCAATATTTATCCATGTTCTTCTTCTATACTATAAACATTCTTAGACGAAAATATAGATATAGATAAAATATATTAGGGTTATTGTCACATTTTTCTGAAAATTCTAATGAAAATATACTTATTAACATAATGAGCATATTTGTACTAGAAGAAATACTAGGATATGTATTGCCCCTAGGGGAAATACTTCTGAGGCAATATAATAATTGATTAGCAGTTTCGTACTTACTTTTGGAAAGCCGTTTGTATATCTGTTACTTTAGTGGGATGGCACACAATGGCTAACTTGCTAGATTCCGCTACGAATAACGACGGTAACCAACGTCTGGCCGCTTCTTGCGCAGCTTCGGACGACACGCAGGCTATCGCTGACACCAACTCACTGTGAATACAATACGTAATCAGACCACGTACAAAAAAAGGGATATATCGTAAACGAATAGTACATATAATAGAGAAAACTTAAAAAAAAATAGAACCGACTTCAAACTTAAAAAAGTGATAAATAATATTTATCTCATAAGTGAATTATTGAAGTTGGACGGAGATTTTCTGTACGTTATTAATTAAACCACCCACCAAGCGGACCCAGTGCGGATTAGTGGGTGTTAACGACTGCAGATGCATCCGGGAACAACGGTGCACGGAGGAGTTCAAAATAAAATTTTTGGTCACCCATCCTATCGGCCATTGCGTAAGTTGCTTAACAACCGTATCGCAAACCGAGTGCACTAGCCATTGCGTCATCGAGCTCCTTTGCAAAATTAACTTGCTGTTTATATTCTGTGGTTTACAAGAATCGAAACACAACTGGTTATGACCACAGAAATATATCTAGTTAGAAGGAAAAAGTGTACGTACTTCGCGTGCCGAAACGACGTCTAGACAGCTTCATTGCTCGCCGCGAGGCTCAGTCCACTTTCGATCGCAATCGGTGTTGGACGAAATTTAAAATGATGCGTTGTTCGATAATTACCTGCTCAAACACCACCAATATGGTTGGATCTTATAGTCGAGGTATTTCCTTCCATCGGTAAGTAACTATTTGCCTTGATATATCTATTTTGAATTAAAAATCATTAGTTTTGTTGCTCCGTATTATTTTTATCAAAACGGTCATGTGTCCAGTATTAGCTTTCCATTGCGGCTTTAATTTGACAGTCCAAATTTGCTGTGCTTGTAAAACCATCGATGTATAATTGAAGGTCAATTTGTTGGAGGACAAATTATCATTTTTTTCTGTCAAAAATGGAGAATAGTGCTGTACAATGCGATTTTTTTACCCGATTAAAAATATATCGTTTTTGAAAGCAGAAGAAAGGATAATTAATTTTATATTGAATTATACTGTAATTTTTGTTTTAGTTTTCCGTATGATCCTAATATTAAAAATAAATGGATTGAAGCAACAAGACTCTAAGGCAAATAGTAGGTATACTTACTGGACATGGAAACTTTAACAAACACCTATATAACATGGGTTATTCTGACAGTCCTCTGAGCAGGGCGTGCATGGAGACTGAGGAGATTGTCTCCTCAGTCTCCATTCCAGTATCACATAAGCGCTTGTGCACTCATGTGATACTGGAATGCAGGAACCTATTAAGACAAAAGGACTACATATCTATGAAGCCCAAGGATACTAGTGGAAGCATGCGGCAGAGTTCGAGATCTTACGGGCTTCCTGGAGGAGCTGGGGTGGCAGGACTAAAGCAACCCCGTGTCATGCAAAATAGGCACTGAGTATCGAGTTGCAGAAAAGCCCGCCGTGAAACATAACATAACAACACAGGACGTAAAAATGTGTAGCGTGTCGGGAGGGGGTAGCGGCTACTACAAAGTGTTTGCCCACAGAAAAATGCCGATTTCTATTCTATCGCATAAAATCTTTTTTGCGCCGATTCACTAAATTACATTCGTGAGTTCGTGACATATACATAATATTTAAGCAAAATGGTAGTCTGTCTATAAAGACATGAAAAAAATTGACAAACAAACAAAAATCTATCAAGAAAAGATATAATTGTGGACTGCTGCATCACAAACCGGGGAAGTACTATTGTTCCATAATTTAGTAAAAAAATATACTGCTGATACTTCATTATATTTCCTTGTATGAGTTTTATGTGTGGCATTTTGGTTTCTCGATACCTTAATTTTCAAATCATTACTCTTATCAAAACTCACGAATAGTGAGTAACGTCACAAAACATAACAATTTGGTACTGTTAACCTCTCTTTACTTGACATGAAGTGGAAGTAAAGTTGATGGTGACCGAGTTGCCACAGACATTCATTATTGCTACTCTTTACAAACATTACTCTTGTACAAATAAACAATAACATTAACACAGCTGAGAAACTTATTTTCTGCATTAATTGTTTCATATATAAAGCTTAATGTACATTAGGTATATTATTATTGCATTAACTTTTAATAAAAAATAATTGATAAAGAAATCACTTATTGTGTATTATTCAGATTAATAAAAGAACCAAGATTATATTATCTCTTTGACTCTAGTGTATGGACAAGACACTGCTGTAGATGTTAATATTGTAGAAATAAATGTAGCTTAAATTAAAAATGAAAAAGTAATTGTATGGGAGGGGGTGCACATTATAATAAATTATTTAAGATTATTGATTAGTTATTATTATCATTATAATTGGTGATTGGTTATAAAGTGATACCTTTTCTTATAAACTCTTATTAAACAAAAATAATTAGGATATTTTAATATTCTTCTACCCACCTATTGAATATTATTATATTTAAAATCAATATTTCATCTTTACTGATTATTTAGGTGCTTAAATAGGATAAAATAGTATATTTTGAAACTTATTAACTTTCCAATTCTCTCATTGATTCTGCTTTGTTTCTATTTTTTTAGGAAATTTGATTCAATATGTTGACCCGTAAGGCTGCTGCACAAAATACAGAAATGCAGTTAAGGCAAGCACTACAGGAGCTAAAGGATTCAAAGGAAACATGTAACCAGTTACTACAGGAACGAGATGAAAGTGAAGAAGAAATCAAACGTATTATTGGTCGGAACTCACAACTGAAGAGTGAGCTTGGTGAACTGCATACTGAGCATATAGAAGTAATGCATCAAAGGGACCATTTTAAGGATGCACTCAGTACTCTCAAAGAAGAATTAAATACTCATGAGAGGGTACTCAACCGCATCACAGAACTGGAACAGGAGCTCAACTTGGCCAATAATAAAATAGAACTACTGCTCGAACAACAAAAAGAACATGAAGCAGAATACACCCAAAGTCTTTTTGAAGAACTGGTAGCATCACCTGGAGGTCAGTCGATGAGGCATCAACTAACAGCCTGTGATATACACTCTAAGAGTCAGATCAATTTTAATTTAAGTACTAGGAAACTTAAGAAATATATTAAAATTGGAAAAGTTATCCAGAAAACTGAGAGATTGATAAAGAAGAATAATTGTTTTTATAAAAATATTGCCTTGAGGAAACAACGCAGTAGTCTGATGGATTCATTGGAAATATATAGTGATAAATTATGTGAAAGTCGGCAGATGTATGACCGGGATACAAAAAAATTTCAATTTGAAATAAAAAAATTACATGAATCAATAGAATTAATACAAAATAAATATTTAGTTGCACAGTCTCAGATTGATGAGCATATTAGGTCTGCCACAGAGTTGGTTAACCTATGCAATTACAATGCTGACCGTTACCATTCACTGTTAAATAATAAACAATTAATTAACAAAACAAATAACAGCTTTAGTAACAATAACAATAATAATATTCAGAAACAATTTATAAATACAGTTACACAGAAACCCTGTCAGTCATCTGCCCACCAGTCACAACCGTTTACTCAGGTACCTGTTCAGTCATCTGTTACTGATGACTGCTCCCCATCACAATTTTCCCAACGTCACAGAATAAATTCACAAAATTACAAAAATAAAATTTTAATGTTCAGTGATGAAATTGGCAGAAACATGGGCCGTTTGCTATTCGATAAGGGCCATTCAACATTAAACTTCTGTATGCCTAATTCCTCTTTTAGTGATATTTTGGAAAAAGCAATCAAACAAAACTACAGCGAAAATACCACTTTATTGTTTTTTATTGGCAATAGAGGTACTTTGAACAAACATAAATTATTGAATTATATAAACGAATTAAATTCATTAAGTGTTGGGAAAGTCGTGATTTTTACGTTGCCGTATTGCAATAGTTTGTCCAATGAAGAAAATAATTTGCGATACAAATTGAATATGACATTGCACACTATATGCAATACTGCAAAGTTTCATGTCATTGACACTAACAAGTATGTTAGAAAATTTTATTTGACTAAAGATAAATATTATCTTTCCAATTATTATAAGAGACAAATAGCTATTTCGCTATCATATTTTTTTTCTATAACAGCCAAAAATTTGGCTAACCAGAGTGCTCCTATTGAGCACTCTTCTATTGACATGACTGTCAGTAATAATCCTACTGACATTGCGACAAATTCGTCTTTAAATTAGATACTAAGACAACAGAGGATTCCTCTTGCTTGCTATTGAATAGTCAAAGTAATAATGGAACCAAGAGTTTTTCAGTCATCAACCTAGTGCACCAAAATGTTCAAGGAATGTTGAGTAAAGAGTTAGAAGTGGAATTATTCATGAACTGTAACAATGTTGATTTTTTCTGTATTACGGAACATTGGTTAACAAGTTATAATTGCATTTTTAACTTCAATAATCACCTTGTTGGTAGCGCGTTCATTAGGAAAAACGCAATGCGTGGTGGCGCACTAATTTTATTAAATAAAAAGTTTAAATTTAAAGAACGTAGAGATATAGTGAGCCTATCGGTTGAGGAAATAATAGAGATTGCCTGTATAGAGCTGGACCAGCTGATTGTACTGAGCGTATATAGACCTCCTTCAAGTTTAGTTTCTCATTATGATCTCTTTGAAACTGTTATGGATGAAGCATTAAAAAAGGTATATAGCAAAGGCAAACGATTAGTGATTGGGGGTGATTTTAACGTTGATTTATTAGGAAACTCCAATTCATGTACAAGACTTGTAAATCTATTTATGTCCTATAATCTTGCGCACATGTTTAAGGAGCCTACTAGAGTAACTGCTACTTCGTCCACATGTATTGACAACATTTTTACAGATCTAGTACCACTTTCAAGACAGATAATTAAACAACTACCGTCAGATCATTTTGGACAACTAGTTAGCTTTCCGCATAAATGTACGTTTGTGGCTAGGAGAGACATTACAGTTGTGTCAAAAAGTATGAGTCGCTTGGAACGTTTTAAAAATCAATTAGATAGTAAATTGTATCATTTGAAACATAATAGTAATCCCAATGATTTGTACAAAGATTTCTTTGATGTTTATTGTACAGAATTCAATAAGATTTTTGTCCCAAAAAAAATAAGTATTAGTAATCCTATAACTTTTAGTGTGTGGGCTACACCAGGAATCTACAAAAGCAGAAAAAGGCTCTATGAACTATATGATGAACGTAATTATAACACAAGTGAGGACTTCAAAGAATATGTACGAAATTACTCTAAATTATTTAAAAAAGTGTGTCGTTTAGCCAAATGTAATTATTTAAATGCAAAAATTGAAAATAGTAAAGACAAAGTTAAAATGACGTGGAATATCATAAATAGTGAAACTGGAAGAGAAAAATCCCGGAATATAAATTTTAATTTAAACATTGATAATAAAAAAGTAACATCAGATCTTGAAGTTGCTACAGTATTTGAAAATTTATTTACTGAAATTCCAGTCTTAATTACACAATCTTTGAATTCCTCTTCCACTGTTGCTGAATCTATTTTAAAGGCAAGTTTAAATAATTCTAATAGCCAATTTAAGTTTCAACACATTGATTTTAAAGATATAATAAAATCTTTTAATCAGCTAAAGAAAACGAAAACTGCTGATTTATGGGGTAATTCCATTGAAGTTTCTAAATCGGTAATTGAGACAATAGCTCCAATCTTAGCTTATATATTTAATGAATGTACTGATTGTGGTATTTTTCCTGAGCTCATGAAATATAGTAAAATTATTCCTTTACATAAATCGGGTAGCACATCTGACCCTACTAACTTTAGACCTATATCCGTGCTACCTACGTTTAGTAAGATTTTTGAAAAAATCATGCTGGATCAAATACAAACGTACTTTTACAAGAATAAGCTTATGAATCGACAACAATTTGGTTTTACAAGGGGTCGCTCGACAACCGAAGCCGGTGTCGAGTTAATACAAGAAATTTTTAATGCCTGGGAGGATTCACATGATGCGTTAGGTGTTTTCTGTGACCTATCTAAGGCATTTGATTGTGTTTTTCATGAAACATTGATTAGGAAACTGCATTTTTATGGATTTAGAGATAACTCATTGGATTTTATTGTCTCATACTTGACTGACAGAGTACAGAGGGTTGATATCAATGGCAAAAGATCCCCTGGATCGAAAATTAAGATGGGCGTTCCGCAGGGCTCAATACTTGGTCCTTTCTTGTTTTTGATTTACATAAATGACTTGCCTTATTTCGTAAGGGATGATCACGAAATAGTTTTGTTTGCGGATGACACTTCACTCTTGTTTAAAATTAAAAGAGGGTTACCTCTAAATGACGATGTGAACAATTCTATCGCTAAAGTAGTACATTGGTTTAATGTAAATAATCTTCTCCTTAATGAAGGAAAAACAAAATGCTTAAAATTTGTACTACCTAATGTTAAAAAAGTAGATATAAATGTTAATGTAAAAGATAAGAACATGGGCCTTGTGGATACCACAGTATTTTTAGGAATAACATTAGATTCTAAACTACAGTGGGGCCCACATATTGATAGATTGTCGAGTAGACTTAGCTCTGCAGCATATGCCGTAATGAAGATACGTAGGTTAACTGACATAGATACTGCCAGATTAGTATACTTCAGTTACTTTCATAGTGTTATGTCATACGGTATCCTATTGTGGGGAAATGCTGCCGACATACAAACAATTTTTGTGCTTCAGAAAAGAGCAATTCGATCAATTTATAATCTTAGGATTAGGGACTCTTTAAGGGAGAAATTTAAGGAAATAGACATTATGACTGTTGCTTCTCAATACATATACGAGAACTTAATGTACGTTCGTAAAAATATTAGTTTGTTTTCTATAAAAAGTGATGTACACAATTTTAATACAAGAAATAAAAATAAATTAACGGTGCCTGTCACTAGACTGCAAAAAGTTAATAACTCTTTCAAGGGTCTTTGTGTGCGCTTCTACAATAAGGTCCCAAGCAAAATACAACAATTAGATATCATGCAGTTTAAATCTACTATTAAAAAAATACTTATTAAAAAAGCTTATTATAAGGTATCCGATTATGTAACAGATAAGAACGCTTGGACTTGAGATGATCCAGCAACTGGATAGGTGATTACTTCTAAACTCATTATCTTGTTTCCATTATTATTAAATGATTATGTTATTATTATAAGACCATAGTTTTTTTTTTTATCTCTGTTTATAATGTATTGATCTGGTAATGACATGGTTTTTGTAAATGTCATTACTCATATTAGAGCTGGTGAGTTTCTTGCTCGTTCTTCTTATCAGCCAAAAGACGTCCTGAACGAGTGGTAGGGAAAAAATGTTGGACGATTCAAAAGTACTTTTAAGAAGTCTATTTGAATAAAGATTATTTTGACTTTGACTTTGATTGAGGGCGCTGCGATCGTGCACGTAGCAACCCTGTGTAGTGAGACAAATGATTTTGATAGTAGGATTTTTTTTTTACTTTTATTACCCCAGAAAAGGTAAAGAAGGACGTATAATTCGTAGACAATGAGTTTATTCTACATTGAAGATTACAATATAGTAATCGTAATTTTTGATAAATCTTTTTTTTTTTATAATTGCCAAGTTGTTTTCTCGTTTTACTGCAATGTGTGCTTGTGTTCGATTAAAGCCTGTTACTTTGACACTCCTTGTAAGAAAACCCAATATATTTCAGAATTTAACGCAGAACTTCTAGGCTACAATTAAAATCCAGATCAGTTTTGGCAATCCACTGATGTTTTCTTCATGTAGGTACCTCTTTTTTTCACAGAGTAAAAGAACTGAATCTTTTGTCGAAGTGCACAAATGTTGCAGTTAACAATTTATTTCTTAGGACGACTATCTATGTTTCCCAGGGGTTTCAAATATGCCACCATTTTTATAACCTTCATCTACAATACGTATCACTATATTCTCTGATTTTCCTGAAAGTAAGTTTAAAAAATGTGATACCTATATGTATTTGGCAAAAAGAATGGAATCGCCACAATGATCAAATTAATGCTATAATTTTAGTAATATCAAGCACAAACTTTTTATTGGCGTACGTAGGTAAAAATCGTACATTCCTAACAGGTATATTTTTTATTCAGATTAAAATCAATGATAAATTTGATTATCCAAAAGTATTGAAAGTTCGGGCCGCACTACAATATAACCTTCTAACATTTTCAATCTAACCTATAAATGCATAATGTAATCAATACTTCTTTTAGACTTAAATTCATATATTTAGTAAATTTGAAACTTCTGGTAACCAAAACTCAATCAGTAACACGATTACATACCAGCAATAACTGCCGTTCGAGCTTTAACATCCTACAAATATGATAAAATGTGTCCAGCTTCTTGTTCCAATAAACATCACTGAAAATCTTTATAAATAATATCCTGAGCTTCACTCTGATAAATTCTCTTCATTTTTAACACTTTTCGACGGAGTTTAGAAGAAGTAGCTTCAGTTTAATCAAAACAAATCAAAAATGCAGAAAATCGAGCTAAAAAATCAAGTTGTTGACAGTCGATGTACTTTGATTCAGTGTTGTCATACTTGTATCTAATGTTAGTTCCTCAAACATTATTTTCATGACTTTATAGACAGACTGTACACGTTGGTTTCCGTCGATCGATATCGTTATTTCAATCGATAAGAATCGGTATGCCGTTTCAAATACAACATGTATTCGATGCAAGTGAAATTATGTCTTCCATCACTAAATTAAGATCGTGACGTCATGATACCTACACAAAATGTGGCACGCTCGGTCTCCATATAAATCGACGAACATGTTCCTTCTAACTAGATTTATTTCTGTGGTTATGACGGAGTATCGCGTGACGTCACATTTTAATTTACTAAAGTTAGTTAAACGTCATCGCCTTTGTTTGCGAGTATATCTGTTAGCTCCTTAGTAAGACCAACCAGAAATCATATTTATTAAAATGTCACGTCACAGCTCAAAGTGTTTAATATGTTTTTCCTTTATCTAATAACACTTCGTGGATAAGAAATTTTGTAGTGGTTTGAAAATATGAAAGTTTTAAATAAAATCTTTTCTCATAATCGTCAAATAGTTAATTTCGATTAAAACGCTTTCAAATGCTACAAATAAATAAACAGCCGGTATATCTCTGCTCACCTGTTATAAGTTGTGTTCTGTTGTCTCACATAGTTGAACAGTGACTGACTAACGACGTCTGCTGGACATTTCTCAGCTTGCACCACTTCGAACAGCGTGGAACTCTTGGCAGACGCGAATAACTCCTCGTCAAATTCGCCGCCACTCAAAAACTCGTCCTAATAATGATTTATTTTACTTTTCATTCGGTCTCTTATTCATAGAAATATTTATGTTCTTTGACGGGCCTGAAGCTCCGTTGCTTTAAGCAATTTCAATATATTAAGTTTTGCCACCCATATATTATAAGAATTTTATGCAAAAATTGGTTCTAAATTTTCTGATTTTTTAAAATGATTGTTATTAAGTTTCTGACGGTTATAACGTGATTGTTTATTTTGTTTGAGATCAAAGTAAAGAATCTGTGATGCTTACTGATATTAATTATAGCCACTAGGGTATTGTAATCTGTTTGAAAAAGTACTTCACATTTCACAATTATTTTCAACGGCAGAAGGTCGGTTTAAAAGAATCCTGTCGAATATTGACCTTAAATTTACGAACGCGTCTAGTGATGCGATATATCTCAAAATGTAACTTATTTTTTATTACGTTTATATGGATACTGATTTTATAATTTTAATTTGTTTGACATTCTTCAAGTAGGAATAATGATTGTACTCTATAATAGTTTTGTGTAACAATGACATTTCTAATTTAATAATTTTGACATACATATATTATGACCAATGTGACTTTGTAATCTTATCAATATTTGCATGCTATCGCTGATGGCTAAATGGGCTGAACTCAAATTGTATTTCAATCTACAATGTACCTCATTTAAAAGTAAATAAATTATTATTATTATTACTTATTTCATATTATGTAATTAAAAGTCTTAAAGCAAACGATAAAAATTGCAAGGCTGATAAATATTTTCAATAACTTATGCGATTCAGACCCAACAAAGGTTTGCTACACTCCTACAATACGATTCGGACCATACAATGACGGTCTGCTACGTTTCGTTTCATCTACTACGAAAAAATATTTTTTCGTCATACATAACGTTAAAAGGTGCAAATTAACATTTACCAGTCAAACTCTGAAAGCTTTTATTTTAATGCATTAATATTTAAACTAGCTTCATAACTATATCGAGTTTTGACAGCTGATATAACCGTAAAACATTATATACAAATTACCAATCTCTGTGACCACCAGATGAAAAGATGCTTAGATATTATTCGTTTTTATGCAAAAAATCATTTAAATTATCACTAACGATAGGTAGACACGACTTTAAAAAAAAAATGTGACAGGCCAATAATGTATACAGAAGATAAAATACACCATAATTAAAAACGAATACTTACCACAATTGCCTTGGTCTTGGTATAGGCGGCGATAGCGTTGGTAGCACGGTACAGTGAGAATACCAGTCGACCTTCGTTCTGTGCCGGTCTGATGCCGTAACCGTACGACAGACCGCAGCCACGAATCAAACGCCACATCGGACCCTATTATATAGTAATTTTTTTTTTGCTCTTTATTTTGGCACAACCAGTCATTAAGGACTTAATTAACAATAGTGCTTCAATATAGATAGTGCTTATGTTATAGACAATACAGTGCCGATAACGATATATAATAATTAACAATCTTTAAAACAGTAAGGAACTTGTTGAAATAAATCACATTAGTATTTACAATTCTTTACATGCAATTATGAACACTTCATTGCTTGCTGCTTATTTTTTTTCCAACATTATTCGCTTTAAGTCTATTAAAGAAATGTTAAAAATATCTTACTCCTGACCTTTATTATTACACAATAAGTAAAAAAAAAATGGATGACGATGAATTTGCCACGGGCCTCAAACGATATAGTTACGCCACTGTATGGAAATACAAAATACGGGTGTAGACAGTGGATGATTTTTTTTTCTGGTAGTGTTTATTATACTATTACCGATAATCACACTTTTATGCTTATTGTATTTATAACATTGCTTAAATTAATTATGAACAAACAATTATTTTATACTCGTCGCGCTCCTTTTACTCATATCAGAAAATAGAGAATTAAAACTTATGCACATTTATAGCGATATTAGTTTCAGAGGACTGTGATGTCATAGCAACGCCATGACAGAAGTAGCGTTTTCGCGGGAAAATTTTTAATAGTAAAAATATTTTTAGATTTCAACTTATATGAATATTTAAAAATTTTTGGAAACATTTTACGTACATCTACAAAATAAAAATATTAAAAAAATAATAATACACACTTATTGTAAACATCGTCAGAATATAATGTTTAGTTAGATTTTATAATGACATAAGTTAAAGTTAGATTTTTATAATCCAGGATTTGATAAAATTTGCTTAAAAATACAAAAAAAAATGTTAATGCCACGTTACCCATAAAAAATTTCAAAGGACAATGCTCTAAATGTATGGGAATAAAGCCCAGGCCTGGTGCAAACAAAATGTTACTTGTATTAAAGGTATAAATGAGTATGTAAATACTGCATAGGGGGCATCATCAAAATCAATAGTAAATGTTGCTATTCGAATTCTGACTCGGGACAGTATTCGATCTACTGATAAAAGGAGCATTATGGTGTATTTTTTCCTTGCACAAAACTTTTTATCCCACTTTTTGAGGAAATGACTACATACAAAGAAAATATATACAATCACACCACGAAATTTCCGCGTCTGAGAGTTTTTAACAAATAAAAATGATATTTCGGCTCTATGAAGGTAGAAAAAACGGCACCAAATAGGTTCAATGACGTTTTGAATTCACATGATGTTCTAAATTCAAATTTAATTTATTCTCTAGTGGATAAAAACGGCTTTTGCGCTCAGATATCGAAAAGCAGAAATACCCTTTCTGAGATGGGGGAATGAAAAGTATATTTTCAATCCCCGTTTATTACATAAAAAAACGATTGATCCAAATAAAATATGGTGGCATTACTAACACCATATGGATGCAGAAATCTGAAATAAATTATTATTATTATTACTGTTACCTCTAGTTGTGTGAAGTAGTTGAGGGCAACGGTGAGGGGGGCGGCGTGCGGGGGCGAGTACCCGCGCGGGCCGGGGCTCAGCTGCACCAGGAACGAGGACTCCAGCCCGCCCACGCCAGACACGAACCCACCGCCCCAACCGGACATCAGATCCGCGTCCAGGTATAACGAGGGCCTAGTCAAATCAAATCAAATTCAACACAGATATAAGACATAATAAATAAAAACAAACATACAAAAGAAAATAATAGTTTCCCCATGCCTGTGTCAAAAGGGCGTCTAGTTCAGCATTTGCCAGTGACACTGTCGCTGATTTTCGACTAGACCCTTTCCAATACAGACTGAGTTGTATGCACATGACACATATGAAAGGAACAAACTATATGAGTAAATAAATTATGACTTTAAACAAACGGTAAGTTACAATTCATTCTAATGACATTTCATTGAAATTTGACATTGATGTAATGAAAATAAATAGCAATACCTATAATATAATCGTATAAATATTGAATAAATAATATCATTGTGAAATATAATATATTAATAAAATATGAATTGCATTGTATAATATAATAATAAAAAATGGAAATATGATTCATTTAATTAAAATAATTCACAATACACTATATGGATCAGTTGTGGATTAAAGTTCATTGGCGCCCTAGAGTCATGATGTTCTATTAATTATAGTTCATTTAATGGCAGATACTGATTCTATTTCAACAATTTCTAATATATGTATTGTTTTTTGCTTTTATTGGAATTGAGCAAATTATTTTCACCTGTACCCATATCTGTCGTAACCGACTGTAAATAAATTTAAGTCGATGTAATAAGGCTCTTTATAATGCACTACATTCTTTGCTTGTAATAAAATTGTAACTTGTAACAAAGGTAAATGAGCTTTCTTTTAATATGACCTGAGTGTAAAATGCTCATAAAATATGCACACATACAAGACACGTTGTTGCTTCTAACGTTAATAAGACGCATGCCCGAGTTGGTGCCCAAATTAATAAATCAAAATCCCTCAGGAGGGGGAAAAAATAATTGGTTGTTGATGATGATGCTCGGTTAATCTATTCGGTTATAATCCCCTTATTTTCTTACTCTGGTAACTTCTTAGGACAACCTAAATAAATTTTTCACAGAGATTTGTGTGTTTTGATATTCTATGACTCAATTTTAAAAAAACAGTAGCCAGTTGTTATTAATATATTTTTAATGGTAATTAACGTATTAGTTAGTTTAAGTTCATCTTGTTATTGTTTCTAGAATGTAAATGTCTGTATGCATTATAATTTGCAATACAAATGTTGCGTAAGTGGACACATTATGAAATCACTCATTGAAATTCACATAAATGGTCACTAATAGTTACATGATACGAAATTACAGTTTATCGGTATATATTTATACAGTTTATATTTCAAAATTTGCGAACCATTGGTAGAAAAATACGAATAAGTGATTATGACATATTGGAATTGCTCACTTTTTACCGTGATTAGGTTTTAGGTTTTGGGGACTTTAGGTTGTCAGTTGAGTTAGCGAATAGGTCTGCGGGCTTCGCAACTCTTTTTAACCAATTTCAAAAAAAAATTGGGAAGATTCTCAATTCAACTGTATTTTTTTCCGTTTGTTACCTCATAACTTTTTATTGGGTGTACCGATTTTTGTAGAGATAACATAGTAGCATAGTATACTCACTGGGCGGGTGCGATTTGGTTGGCAGTAGTGAATTTCTTCCAGGGCTCGGTGGTGAGCTTGTGGCGTTCAAAATCAGTAGCTATATGCAGGAACACTCGTTCCGTGATACAACTGAACATTTTTCGAGCTTCCGATAACACGTTGTCCGCAGAATCTCCACCGGCGTTTAGTTGTTCCACTAATTAAAAAAATATTTCGTTATTAGTTACATTAATTAATCTGAGAACAAGATAGGAACATTTTTCAATCATCGATTTTAACTATGTGTTAGTAATTCACTTCAAAAACTTTTTTGTAATAAAAATAATATGATCAGATGTGTTATTGCATGAATATTATGTTACCAATAATTAACAAGTAGTTTTAATACAGACACTTCTTTTTATAGGTCTTGAAGTAATCTTGTATATGCAATCAATTTAATTACAAAACTTTTGTAGCATATTTTGCACAAACGTCCGTTAAATCGTCATTAGTTTAAAGCGATATTATCCATACACATTTGCCATTAATTATAGCTTAAAAGTGTCATTAAAACTGAATGAACGTTTGAGAAACTAACCGTAAGATTGGTTATAGCTTAGGGATGACCAAGCATAACATATTGTTGTTTATTTAATACCTAAACATGGAAGTAGTAATAAACAAAAAAAACTATCAATTTAGTAAATTACATGTTTATAGTTCATTGGTAATTAAGTTTATTTGAAATTCTTTTACTTAGGATGATTACCTAATTCCTTGAGGAATTTATGTTGTCTAAGTACAGAACACCAGTGGATATTACTATCTTTGCTGTACAACGCATCTCGTAATGAATCGTACACCATTTTGTTACCGTTCCGGCGGACCTGAAAAGAGAAAGGAAAAATAATAGAGATCGTGGGATCAATTGGCCACTTGACTCTTTTCGGAAAGGCATTTGAACACTCAAAAAATATTATGATATAAAAAAGAGTATACCTAAATATGTAGGTTGTTTCGGTAGTGAAAAATAAATTACGAAATTGTGCAAAAACTAAAATTGACATCGTAATAAACATAGAGATACTAATTTTGAGTCTTAAATTAGCAAGATTCTCTTATTATCTTGAAATTAAAAGAAGTGATTTAATGTATGTGTATCACGTGACTTGAAACATGACCCGCCATTGTGTGACGTCACCGTAGAGACGGCTGTTAGAATAGTCATAAAGATATGCTTAATAATTATAAATCAAATTCCTAGATCGCGATGTTTTTAGCTTATTTATACCTTTTTATTTCGTAATCGATCTTTAGGTGGCATTTTTCTAGTTTTATTGTTATCTTTTAATCTTCTAATTTATGCACCTGTTTTGTGTACATATCACAATAACGTCATGAATATTATGGACAGAGTTTTCGCGGATAAAAATGTTAAAATTTTGATTTAGGTTTAAGATAAGAATGTGTGTTGCTACGTCACTACTTATGATAATGGTCATAAATTATGAACCTTTAGGTCAGCGACCGATTTATAATATACATATAGTTCCTATGCATGAAGTTAAATATTTTTTCTGGTAAATATGTCTTATTAACGATGTTTAATTATAGGATAAAAAAAATTAACTATTTATAAATACATTATATCATGTATTAATATATGCGTACCTGTGCGACGTCGTTTATCAGTCTCTGAGCGAACACCAGTAATCGTTCTTTAGTTATTTCCGCGCAGTACAACACTTCATGCATTAGATTGACCACCTCTTCGTAATCTTGCGGCTCACACTGTGATCAAACATTTATTAATTACTCATTACATTGTGAATAAATAATATTCATAAAATAATGAGTAGCTCGGTGGCGTAGTGGATAAGCGCCGCGGCCCGCGATCGTTGTCGTTAAGCAACTTTGGCAAGGGTCGGTCACGGGATGGGTGACCAAAAAATTATTATCTCGAGCTACTCTGTGCCTCGGAAGGCACGTTAAGCCGTTGGTCCCGGCTGCATTTGTAGTTTTTAATACCCTCCAATCCGCATTGGGCCAGCGTGGAGGGTCATGGCCCATCTTCCTTAACCATCCGTAAGGAAGGCCTGAGCCCCTGCAGTGGGGACGTAAAAGAGCTGACGATGATTAATATGAAGGATTCAGCTACATTGACTAGATAAAAAGAACGTTATAAATAAAATAGCAACGCAACGCCATATACCTTTGGTGTGCATTAGGACATATATGTATGTCCATGTAGCCCGTATGCCTAAGGACAGATCTGGCTAATTTTATCTACTCGATTAATGGTCAAAATGCTTTGCATTTAATTCTGGACATACTTCATTAATATCCGAACAACTTTGTACTTAGACAAATCTGTCCTAAGGCAAATGAGCGCACATTCGCTGCACGCATACATGCAAAGGCTAACGGTTTTTTTTAGTGTTTTCTTTTATGGTTTTCTACAATAATTTCCTTAGAAAACTTGCCGCAATGTTGCTATAAGTAAAAAGTCCTCTCTTTCTAGTTTACAATGGTACCTCATTTGTACGGCAAAGATAACCTAGAAGCCCAAAAAAATATTTGTATTTATGGCATCCTTGAGAGGGACTATCTTCGCATTTCTTGGCTAAAATTGGTGTGCCTTTACGTAAATAATCATCTTTATACACCCAGGAGCAATCAATTACGTTATAAGACGATTGTAAAGTTCAATTTGAACCAGGCTTGAGAAGGCGAAAATACGTATGCGATTCACAGTTTTCAGATTGAAAATTATAAGTATATTTCTTCAGAAAAGTGTATTTCTAGTACACCAGCAGATAGCTTTGTTATCTTTAATTTTTTCTAAATTGAATATCGAAGAAAGTAAGCACAAATAAATTGATAAATCACCGTTATCTTACGGTAGTTCAAGGGCCTGTAGAAAATAAATGATATACTTTGTAATCCATTTTTTATTGAGTAATCTTCTCTATTTATCGGACTTTCACAAACAATCGCAAGTTGATTGCTCCCCGAATAATTATAAGGAAATATTCAAGAAAATATGAACGAAGTCGCACGCGCTTTTTTGACGGAAAATGGTGGCACAGGAGCGCGTGGGCCCCGCCACTGTGTTGGCACACCAAAGGTTAATGAAGAACAATGTTTAGTTTTGCAAGTATAGTCGATATCAAATTATGACATCATAAATGTGTAAGTCATATATTAAGCATTGCAAGAGCGTTATAAAGAAGAAAATATTCTCACCCCCAAATTTATTAGAGATTTAAATAAAAAATGGCAACAATAAATTATAAATGGACTCAGTGTTTTTGTCTATTACATTTATCACACACACATAGAGAGAGAGATAGAACACAGACGCGCACACGCACATGTCTATTGTAGTTATAAAAATTGAAATACAATATAAAAGTGTAAACAAAAAATAATAAGAAAATTATTCTGTGGTGGTGGGTAGAAACTCCTAGGAGATTTCGCTCTCTCAACTAGCTTTACGATTAATTTAAAAGATCGTTTGTAGCAATAACACACACACACACACACACACACACATATAGCTTTATTAGACACATGTATTGAACTCACCCTAACGTCCGTGAGTACGAAGTTACCAAAGTAACCGACGGAGAAGTTCCCGCCGGAACCGAAGCCTACACTGTTGTTGCACATGACCGTGAGCTGTTCCAGGGCGGATATGATCTCCTCGTGGGGCACGAGCGTGTCCCCTCTTCGTACAGGACACTCTCCGAGAGCGTTCAAGAACAGGGGCAGCCACTTACGTGCGTTTTGATTTGTACTAGTCATATCCATAACTATGTTCATCTAAAAGCAGAGTTCACTGATAAATATATATTTATCATTATACATAGATATGTATCAATTGATATTTATAATATTTTTTCTTAGTTGAGCATTGAGTATCGAGTCTGAGTTAGAAAATTAACCAACCCAATATGATGCTGGCAACATTGGCCCGAATTAGCAATCTTACTTACAAAAAATTTCGGGTTTTTCCGTAATATGAACTGGAAATGCGAATGGTTAGTTGTTTTATTTTTCTTAAAATTTAATGCTCATGTTCACGTTTAATATAATAAGTAGGTAATAAGTTATCCTAATTTTTAATTATTTTATAATAAATATTAAATAAAGTCGCTGGCAACTTAAAAATCGCAGTTTTTCTTATTATATATATCGGATGTTTTGATGTTTATAATGAATTTCGGATTTTTGCGAACCCTGTCTAAAAGAACACAATAATAAATATACACTGCTCATATTATCAGATGACTTAAGCCCCGGTATACGGGTGTAAACAGTAAACGAAAATATTACGTATATTTTTTTTTTCAGGTAGTATTTAATATACTATTACTGATAATCACATTATGCTTATTATAATTATAATATTACTCAACCTAATTATGAAAAAACAAATATATTCACCTCCTTGCTCATATCAAAACTTAAGAGAATTCAATCTTATATTCGTTCCAGAGTGCCGTGACGCCATGACGGAAGAGGCGTTTTGGTGGGAAATTTTAAAATTTATATTTATTATTAGATTATTACTTATTATACGAATGATATTTTTAAAATATTTTTACACCCCTATATTAGGTAAGATTTGTATGTTACTCACATATACAAAGTTGGTGTGTAGACTATGGACTCTGGTGTATAACGGCAGATCGTCCAAGGGGAAATATGGGCAGGGCTCCGAGTCTGAGCTCCAGGTGGACAGCTTGTAACACTTGAGGTTATCACACGGTGGCACTGGCACTGATGCTAAAGTGCCAGGGGGCGGAGGACGCTGCGATACAAAATATTTATACATATATACTAGTTTTCCTGTCTTAATTATTAATTCTGTCAATTCTATATCAAATGTTATATAAGGTTACATTAAATTTTTTTATAGCATTAAGGTTAGATTAGAAGTAATTTTATATGGTGGTTATTGTGATTTATGGTTGGTTTTATATTCTTAAATTTTCCACTCATTTTTCTCATTTATTTTTCTTTTATACGAACCTTCGCCTGACAATAACGAATACAACAAAACAATAATTATCGAAATCGGTCCAGCCTTTCAGGTGTAATGTCGTGTCCAATGGAAATAGGGATTAATTTATATATATAAGAGACAACATAACATATATTGCTCAGATTCCAAGATAAGTAGTTGAAGCCCCTGTATATAGAGTATCTGAGATAATGAAGGCAACAGATTTTTTTTCTACATTGACCCGACCGAGAATCTAATCCGGGATCTCAGAGATAGTGAAACACCTTGAAACCGGCGTACGAACCACTCGGCTACGGAGTTCATCGTCAATAACAAATAAATAAGTAACTAATTTCTCCTTCTCTAGCCTTCTTCAGCCTTTAAAGTGTAGACCCCCCTCAGTTTATGCCATCTTTCTCTGATGAGGAAGAAGTATTTTATTGTGCATTAAAACGAGGTAGCCAAAGAAACAGATCTTAATTATAAACACGAGGGTCACTTATTTCACTACTAATCAACATCACATACATTGTTCAGATAACAAGATGAAAGCCCTACATTAAAAGTAACTAACGTATTTAATAAATAAGATTCATATTATGGAGAGTCTGAGACAACGAAGAAACGTAACACCCAGATCCGAAATAATATAGAAAAGTTAATTATCTACATTCACCCGGCGGAAACTCGAACCCGGGACCTAAGAAATCATGACATCTTGAAACCGGCACGTGAACCATTCGACTACGGATTGATAAGGTAAAGTAATTTAGTTATAATTTAGGTGGGCATGCATTCTGTCATTGCCATTTCCTCATTTATAACATTAGTGTAGATAAGCCTAATCTTTCCAGTGAATTGAAAACGTACTAACGTTATTCGCACCATTATATACGTATACATATTTAACTATGAATCTTATTTGATCTTTAAATACTTACAGAATTAAATTCGGTAGCGTCTTCTAGCTGCTTAGCTTTTTCGGCCAACCCACTCTCTCCTAGCTGCTTTCTTTGTTCTTCTATTCTAGACTTCTCTTCTTCGGCCATTCTATAATGAAGAGCTTTTTAATAACAATGTATAAAAAATATATGTGAATCGAAATTATTTACATTGACCTGAATATCTGGCATGACGAACTCGAGATACTCGAGAAGCTTTCGAGAAACTCGAGAAACGGGTCTCTATATGCTTCGCGGTCTATGCGTGCTATAATTTACGTATTTCTAATGCAATAAAATAGGCAGAAGCTTGATGAAATTCGCGATTTATCGAAAATAGGTTTCACGACTGCACGACACGCTTTGAAATTAGGCTTTCGCAGGTCGATTCGTGGGCCATATCAGTTTAATAATATTAGACAATATCACATATATATCCCAAATCCACAAATCCCAAATGAAGTAGCTGAAGCACTATTTGTGTTATGAAAATCTGAAACAACTAAGGTAAAACAACACCCAGACTTGAGACCAATGTTCATTTTCTTCATTGAGCCGACTATGACAATTGACACCTTAGAGATAGCCACACCTTAAAACCGACGTGCATAAGGTGTATATTTTGTATCTTCCATAAATAGTATAAAAGAAAGTCGCTGCCCGCTGTCTGTCCGCTGAGATATATTAAACTGCACAACGAGTTTTAATGCGGTTTTGATTTATATAAACAGTGATTCAAAAGTTTTATATGTATAATACAAGACCAAGCGGGCGACGCCGTTATTCCATTACAAAAAAAAAAAATCGGTAAACTTTTTGTAAAAATGATATCCGCGTGTGTTAATTGTCTGTGCGTCAGAGTTAGTTTCAGGTTCCTCAATTGCATCATAAATTATCATAAATTGGGAGTCATATAAGCATTTCGAAAATAGACGATTTTTTTTTTCCAGCGAATTAGAATAAGCCTTTAGGTGTTATGACAAGTACAATTTGATTATCTCACTTTGCCTGCAGCTGTATGCTTGGTGCGCCAACTATGACGGCCTGCTCATCGGTGAAATATTCCTTCATCAGTCCCACCCAGTAACCGACCTCTTCTTCCATTAGTTCTTGCAATGAGTGTTGTGGATTCATGCGTAACACGAACTATATCCCAATTTCAAACAAATTATTAATTTTATGACAACAATAACATAACAAAAACGCACAGGTCCGAAGGAACATAGTGACTAATAGATACAGAATGGAGGAGTGCTTCGTTTTTGAAGAATTTTGGTTTCAGATATTTCACTTAACCCATAGAGTGCTTGATCGTGCATACTCGAAAAAGGGCCTGAAGTGCTGCGATTACTTTTGCAAATATTTGTTTTTATGCACCCATTAAATTTGTTTTTTAATTATATGTGCTATATATCATTTTAAATGGACTTTATATTAAAATCATATTTAATTTATATACCTAAAGTACAGCTAACTAGCAGCGATACTAAAGGTCATGAACCCAAAAACGACTGTGGAGTTGACAATCTATTATCTATCTCTTTTCATCTTGTGTATTTGTCGCAATGTCTCGTTCTCCCGGCAAAAATGTGTCAAGGTCAAGACGGGTTCGCCAGGGTTCGCCAATATTCAGGCTACCATTTTAAATAATAGTGATTCATTCATTTTCATTTTTGTTCTAAACATTATTCTCGACATAAAATCACATTCTTGATATTTACATAAATAAAATAATTCAAACTATAATTAATAAAAAATAACAGGAGCTAAGCTACAAGTTAAGTCAACAGACTAGAGATACCTCCCTGCCATACCTATAGTTTTGAGTATTATTATTCGAATTTCAACTCATTGTCTTTTATTGTTAGATTTTTTAAATAACAATTACATAAAGTAACTTAATGCTAGATATTATTTAAAATAATATTATCTGCTAATAAAATACACAAGTTTTCAAAAAGTTACGCATCCCTGCATTTCCTAATGACATTGCATTGGTTTTTGTTTACATTTGGTATCGCTTCTCGTTGGCCGTACTTTAGTGTATTACTTACATGAGAAATATTAAAAAATATATTTAGTATTTTCATTCATCACAAACACAGGGTTTTTACTTGAGATACCATATTTTTATTTACCAAATCGCATTGCGACTATAAGGTACACTTATTTACAAACCGTTTTCGTTACATATTCTAAACTAAAAAGAATTTGTTTATAATAAACCATTCATGGTTTGGAAAGGAGGTTGTGAATGGCGAATTTTGCTATAAAACGAAGATTAACATAAATACTCACATCCCGCTCGTTTTGTGAATATAGAGCATCACCGATGCATCGGAAAGCGACAGCGTGATGCGGATCCGATTCGAGACTAGCGAGACTCTCGCGCAATTGTTTCTTCAGTAAACGTTTCATACGTTCCATGTCTATGGCGATCTCTTCCGACCGGACTGATGCTAAACACTTCTTGGCCTCATCGCGAGCCGCCTCCAGTTTGTCTATGGGCACATTGTCCAGCTCGATCTTGATGAGGGACGCTATGTTTTCTGTTAGGTTGTAAGAGACCTGAAGTAATTTGTACAAAAAAAATACATTAGCATAAAAGTTGAAGGAAATCTTTGTTTTATTTATCAAAGACAATTTTAAACATTCTCGGTCAGTTGCACAAACCTCTATTAAGGTTTAATGATGGTTTTAAGATCTAATTAATGTCAAATTTGTGTCGGTAATGTCGCTTTAAACTATTGACAATTTTAATTGACGTTTGTGAACATCAAAATTATAATTAGTTAAAATAAAAAAGTAAGCAAAATAATAAAAAGATTAAAAATTCTAAAACCCTATTGTTCTAGTTTGGAATCATGACAAAAATCATTACATTGTTCACAAGAAGTTAATGTAGTTTTTGTCGAACATAACGATTTTAATGCTAGTTAATGATAATTCGTCTACATTCTGTATTACATATATATTTTTGTTACTTGTCATTTTAAAAAATTTACACAATTCAAATGGCATAGATCATTTCATCGCCCTTGAAAAATTCTATCGATTCATTTACATCCGGCTCGAAGGACCAATAAACGAAAAATACAATATTTAAAATAACACACCACAAATTTTTAGGATGATATTAATACACTCACATCTCCTCGACCGATCGAGCTCAATGGCGCAATGGCTAGCGCGCTCGGTCTGCCATACGGTTGTTAAACAATGGCCGGTCATAGGATGAGTGACCAAAATCCATGCTTCGGAAGGCAGGTTAAGCCATCGGTCCTGGCTGCATCTGCAGTCGTTAATACCCACCAAGATGTATTGGGCCCGCATGGTGGGTAATGGCTCATTCTCCCTATTCGATTTGATTCGATTCCATCCATATGGAATATCTGAGCTTCAGCAGTAGGGATATTAAAAGGCTGGTGATGATATGATGATGACTCACATCTCCAGCGAGCGCGTCTTCTCTCTCAACGAGGCATCGTTGCAGCGGCGCCGCGGCTGTATCGCATAAGTATCGCAATAACACCGCGCAACCTGTAAGGTCCTTCATCGCCGTCTCGGACGTCAGCAACGGACCCCGCCATCCGAAAACAACCTAATACCCAAAAATTATAACTATACACAACTATTATAACCGGTCATTAAAGGAAAATATCAATACACTTACATGTCGCATGTAATCTTACAAAATAAGAATGGCATTGACTTGGCATTTTTTAAAAATGGTTTTCGTAGGAAAAACGCGTTTCAACGAGAATTGCCCCCGCACGGATTGGAATCAATGATGTAAGTTGTTTGCCCACTTTATCATATCATACTGTGGCCATAATAGGTATGTACCACGCAAAAACATGTTCTCTGTATGGTATAGTACGAGATGTCATTCTCTAGATAGTTCCGTTACCGACCACTTGCGGAACATGCGTGAAAATACTAATTCTGCTAATGCTTACATAATAATCGCTGCTCGATAGAATCTCAACGACTTGCATTTTACCCTTGTATTATCTACTTAAAGTCCAACATTGTCTTCCTCACACATCAATGGTAATAGATACATATAAACTAGCTTTCCTCCAGCTTCGACCGCGTGGTAGGTACCTATTTGGATAGCGATTTATATCATAGCTGTATCATGATTTTTCGGGATTAAATATAGCCTATGTTCACTGCGTGTGATCTAGTAGTTTCGGAGCCTATCCGATGCAAACTAACAATCAAATCTTAGCTCTTTACACATGACTTCAGGTAGATAGTACAAAACATTAGCAGAATTAGCCTGCAGGTCTGTCGCCACTGTGCCTGCGCGTTATACTTGAAGAAACACAGGTCTGTACTATAATATAAAATGAATTTACCTTCTCATGATTTGCATTCGATAAATGATGTCTATTTTTAGATCGATTTTAGACTTAATATGTGATGACATACAATGTTTTTTTAAATAAATTGTTCTTATTTTTTCTCACCTGCCCACAATCCTCGGTGTCTGCCGGCCACTCCTCCTTAAATTCACCGTATTGAGGTGGAGGTGGAATTGTTTGCCAAGGTTTTACCCATTCACCAAGAGGCTCCTTTTCACGCTATAATTAATTTTTTCTAATATTTATATGATATATTTGAAAACTGTACAATGTAATTGGTACTCTGTATCTTTAAAGATGCATTTGATGATAAGTAGTAATCATTTATTATTTCATAAAATATATATATATATTTATTTTGATAAATAAGTTATGAATATTTGTTATATTTAATAAAGGATTTAATTTATTTTTGAATATTATTTTAATATGCAATTTTATAGAATCAGGAAATTGATTTGAAATCTATAATTTTTTCCTGTATTATTATTAGGTGTAGAAAGAAAAATATTCTATGCGTCATGCAGTTAATAAATTCCTTGGCATGTGATTTGAGGTCAATATTGCATTGTAAGATGAATCAGACAAAAGAAGATACCTACTACACATTGGCTATTTACTATTCTGACTGGACTTAAGCAATACTATAGTTTAAAGTTATAACTTTGATATTAATATTTTTTTAATAATCTTGTTTGCATTATAATCTTGTTGTATTTGCTATTAGTTTTATAATAATTAGAAATAAAAGCATTATAATTAACCCAACAAGGCTCAATTTTTTGTTTGGTTGTGGAAAAAGTATATATATGATGTAATTAGTTATTAGTAGTTAGGAAAAAATATAAAAAAAATATAGTAGTCCAATATTTTACCAGAAAATCATTTTTTTATTTCAGTTCCATATATGGTACACTGAGCCTTAACTATACTATTTGGTACTGAACTACAATAAACGTAATAATTAGGAAACAGTATCTTATATTAATTATCACGAGTTGAAAATGAAATAAGAAACAATTATGTTTAAAAATGCTTCTTATGAAAGTTTCAGAAACAATTATTATCTTTATTCAGGCAAAGTTCTGCGTGACAATTCTCACAAGAAATAAAGTCTTCCTATGCAACCAGGCTATTTATATATTTGTCTTTTTTCACCCCAGACCGGAAAATGCTCAAACCCTTCACGTCTGACGTCACGAGGAAGTAGCATTGCAGTATTGGGCTTCTTTCTTTTCTTCTCAATTTCTTCAGACGCAGAAGCCCAAACATACATAAATTTTTGCCTACCTCAAATTTTAACTTTATTTTATTTTAGTGGAATTCGCGTATTATTCTGTTCTCTAACTCTTTTGTACAATAATCAGCTATTGATCAAAGAAATATCAAGAAGATGATAAAATAGTCTCAACCACAAAAAATATCGAAGGGGTGTTTCAAAGTGTATAATTGGTGACTGTAAACTTGTGTCTCCAGTAAACGGAGAATGAGGTGAATGAAAAGTTGTTTTTCTCCAAATGAATCTCCTTTTATTTCTTATGGCAACAGACGTAGAACCAAGGGTTTTAGTTAATGATCCCCCATGTGCCCGTGATTGTGTAATGGTACATGTTGTTGTCCCTGATGTGCTAGGCTGCAGGTCTGATATTTCAGGCCTTCACAACATGAACATCCTCGTTGGCAGGAGACAAAGATGGTCTTTGCGGCGGTAGTGAAGTTGCCTCGTCGCTTAGTGATTTCGATATCAGCTTTTGGAATAACTGTAACTTCCAGCGTCAGAAAATCCTCCTCATGTTCACTCCCAGAAGGGATATTCAAGAAATCTTCAATTTCTTCACTACGCAATCCTCTTCGCGACATAATCTATAAAAGACAATAAAATAATAGTAATTATTTGGCGTAAGTACGAAATAGTAAAACGAGCACGAAAGCTCAACGTACCGTATGTGGCACATAGATAAAATGACGATTTCAAATACTATTACTAGTTATATAAAAAAATAACTTACCTCTGCATAATATACACTCCCTTATTTCTCATTTATTTTTTTTGGACTCAGAACTACGCGATTACTAATTTTTTGAAATTGGTGAAATCACGAGAGTGGTTAACGTAAAACTTTTACGCAAATTTTTTGCCAAACTCTCTAAACAGGGAGATCCAATGGTTGTTTTCGGATTGATAATAGATGTCGCTGCACGTTTTTCATCGCTGTAGGGACGATATAAATGGTTGTCCCACATGTGGCACTGGGGGCCTTGTAGGGTTAAGTTATCTTTAAATATCATAGAATATATATCTCAGAAATTTATTGCAGATAGATAAAGCGGTAGATTTGTCCATAAAGTATATAATATATGTGTTATGAACATATTTATTTTTCGAGCAGTGTAAACTAGTTCAAGCGTAATGCTTGTGATGTGAACGTATGATGCCAGTGGGGATGAGTTTAATTTTGCCCATTTTGTATATTAATTTGTCAAAGGTTTAATATATAACAGATATTAATTTTTATGTAAAATTACAAGATATTGTAGTATGTGAAAGTGCATGGTCTGGCAGTATTAACAGATCCAGAAATCTGTCTTTAGCCTGTGGGTGTATATAAATGTATCATTATATTAACTACCTTCGCTATGATGTCATCCTCGACGGTAGCTAACGCTTTGAACACGTCAATTGCCGCTATTTGACCAGTTAAAATAATCGTTAGGTTTTCCGGCCTGTAGAATTTCTTGTGAAAATTTCTTACCTAAAATTTTAAACAATAGTAATATATAAAACAGTTTTAACATACAAGTATTTTTATCACTATTTTTACACTATCACATTAAAATTAGGTATATAGTTCGCCTTTTTCTTGGTTTACTTTTTGTACAAAACCAATTGAATGATCTTCATTTTAAGCACCCTCTTAAACTGAGTTGCAGTCGGTTTTGACAACACATAACATTGCACTTTTTATTGTTATTTTAATTGTATTATCTGTTTACTTTATACTGTTTGTGATGTATGATTTCGTATATGTGCCATGTTGCAATTCATGAACTATTATGGCTAATCAATGTTTATGTTTACACTCATTACATACATACTTACTTTAGTATTATCAGTAGAGTCCCTTAGATTTTTCATTATCCCACCTGTTTCCATTGAGTACCCACTGTTGGGGTACATCACCCTTAGAAGTCGCAATTCACACCTGATTAAAAAAATTAAAAGTATTTAAAAAAGTATTTATATGTATAAGTATTTATTAAAATCAAGTTGGTAAGTAAAAAGGTAGGTATAGTATGTAAATAGGTAGATATAGGATAACCTATACATAATCATAGTCATAGTCTCTTCGTAATGCATGCAAAAACGAAAGATAAATATGTATTGCTATCCATTGCACTGTTTTCACGAAATACTGGGTTTTTTGTATGGAACGTTGTATCACTGACTTTAGCATTTAAATTTCAAATTTAAACAGAACACATAACATTGTACCTATTCAAAAGACAATTTGAAGTTAAACAAGGAGAACGTCATAGTTATACAACATCATAGCGGAAGTCCCGAAAGGATCAGTTTTGGGACCCATACTGTACAACATTATTTAAGTTCAATCTCCCCACCCTCTCAGATTTAAATCTGTATCTTTTCCATGAAGTACTGCATTTCATTGTGTAGGTCGCTAACTCCATCCAGTACCACAATAGTCGTTTCTCCACAGAAATTATGAGTTTTTTTTGGGGTAACACTGAAATAATACTTTGGGTCATTGTTTGTTTTTCCACCTGCCCTAATAACAGATTATAGGTATCCATTATATAAATAATCAATTTCAATAAATTTCATAATGCATTTACAGACATTATTGATCTCATACAAGTAAATATAAAAATTGAAAATGCATAAGAAACATTATAATCATAAGTTGCCTATATCTATAATTGAAAACACAACCTTGGGTAGTTATGGTTATTATAAGCTATCAACACAATCACACTTTATTATGATTAGCATTAGAAGTAGCACTATGTTTAGTAGATACTAGGTAGGTACCTAGCTAAGTAATTTTTTTTTGTTGATTCACAAACATTGTTATCACTATAATTATTTATTATACAATAAACAGTGAATGCCTTATATCACAAAGCAATTGATAATTATTTTACAAAAGGAAATCATAGCATTGCATCAAATAAACTGTTTAAGAAGCTGTGGTGAAGGCCTCAGCCAGTATTTATTAAAATCAAGGCATTATTTATTTTGACAAAATAAACTACATTAGGCCTAGTGGTGGACTGATGAAATTTAATTACTTATTTGTACAAAAAAAAAAATTTATACAATGCTTTATCTGTTTGTTACAAGTATAAATGTAACTCAATTGTATATCACTTGTCAAGAAGCAGGATGTCTGAGATCAAAAAGAAAAATAGTTAAAAAGATCAAATAATTTAATAAAACAATTTTGAAACAGTTTTCAGATTATTTGTTTTTATTATTACATTTTTCAAACATATCAGATCCTTTGCGGGTTTAATAGACCGATATATTGGTTGTCTTAAAGTAATAAAAAAATATTTAACAATGAGTGTGAGTGATAAAAGTTTATGAAATTAAATGAATTGGCTTATTTAATTTCTTCACTAACAAACAACTTTTACTTTTTATAACAGACAGTTGTCTGTTATAATAATAATAATCTGTGTATTTTGTATAATATACTGGGTTGGTTATATAAATATGAATGGCATATTCACAATTAATATGAAATCCTTAATGTTACTCACCTGCTGTCAGCTGTATTTTCACGACCCTGCATTTCACAATAAACCACTCCAGCATCTTCACCATCCCCATCAACATGATGTACTTCAGTAATAAATCCTTGATCAGTTAGAGTAGGATTTAGAATATGGTCTAAATATATAGGCAGAAGAGTCAACATCCCGGCATCTCCAGCCGTGTTAATTGTATAGCATGTATGATCAGTATCAGTCCAAGCGTTGGTGCCATGAGCCATACATCGGTTGGCAAGGAGATCCAAGATACCTTTATACGGATATCGTTTAGACCCCAAGAAAATAAGGTGCTCCAATGTATGAGGTAATCCATCATCATCTTCTGCTTCAGTCGCTACAAATGGACACAAAAAAAAATCACATTCACTATTTGAAATTTAATCACAAACTGAAACAACTCTTTCAAATAAGAATTCTCACCGAGACAGAAAAATCCGTTTACGAGTGGACCTTCGGTTTCAGCAATTATCACAGTAATTCCAGTTTTATCCGATACATATTTGTTTACGGGGATTACATCTGAAGCTTTTGTTGTTGATATTAATTTAAAATGAGTCATTTTTCTTAAGGAAGTTTGTTTATATAAAATACGAGTAAGAGTTTTCCTCTTCCTTGCTTGCTTACCGGCCGGCCAAAGAAAACGACTTGCAAACGACGACAAAGAAAAATGCAAAGAGTAGTATTATATTAGGGGAAAAATGATCAAGTTTGACATTAGTGAGATACCTGATCTGAATCGATTTTTAAAGAACATTCAGATTGAACTAGTACCGATTTCAAGAATTGATTCAATAGAATGAGGAAGTATTTAAAAAAAATAAAGCACTAAAAAAGCATCTCCACTAGATGGCGACTCTAGCAAAATTTGATTTGTGCAGGAAACGAATGGACTAAAGAAAGTCATATGCGTTCCTTTTAACTAACATATTAAAAAATTGAAATTTACAGTAACTTTTATATTAATGCAAATACGAAAAGGTACAAATAGAATATGAGTTGTTTATTGAGTTTTGAAAAATAATTTACTTTTATACATAAAGAAAACCAGAAGGGTTGTCATGGAGAAATCAAGAAAGTACCATATTGACGTCTAGTGTGATTTCGGGAATTAAGATTTTTTAAAATAACTTCCTCATTCAGGTCGATTCTTCTTCTTCTTTTATTAATAGCTTATCTGCGCATTTCGCACAATTCTGCCAATGTCAAGTGAATAAATAAATTTCTACATGTAAAATGAAAATGAAATTAATTAAAAATGGCGATGATGTAAAAAATTCGTTCGAAAGAAAAAAAATCAAATGAAAGGATCGATTCGCGAGGTGAAGAACCAAAACGTAAAATCCATTTAGGAGATTGGACATCCCTATTTAACAATAATGATTTGACATTGACTTTTATAGAGTTCTTGTAGAAAAAAAGCAAAGAAATATTACATCCAGAGCCAATGGAAATGAATTTCACTATAGTCACGTTTCAGCAAGCCTTAAGCTAGTTGCTAATGTTATTTTCACTCGTAATTTTCTGTCAAAATTTGTAGAAAAAACGCCTGTCTGTCTGTTTATATAATGCATATTAAAATACACATTATTAATGACAAAAGCAAAAAGGTATCATTTCATGTGTAAGCACTGTACTTACTCTTTTTTTAATAAAAATAATAAAACGTCTTTGAACGCAGCCTTTTTTTTCATGCATCGTGTTCTTCGACTAGGAAGATTGGAGTTCACACGTTAAGCTATATATACTATATTCTATAAGCTATAAGAGATAACTATTTTTAATTTCTTTGTGCCTTTTGTGATTGTATTATAATGTAACGCTACGAGAATTAAGTTTACGCCGTTTTAAAACGCAATAATGTATACCAAAGTTATACGTAGTATCTTCTTCTTAGTCCGTGCCAAAGTTCAATATAATTAATTCTCTAAATAGAAATAGATGTCGCTAATATTATGTTTGATGGTTTGAGTTTTGTGTTCAACACTGTGAGTGTTCAATTTGGTTCAATTTATGAAGCTTGTTAGAGACATATCGTCTAAGCTTATTGTTTATTCTCATCTTTGGTTTGTAACATTATAGTAAACTAATCTTTTTCGTTTCTGATTCATTAATATTCATGTTTGTTCATTTCATGCTCATCGTAATACTTCCTCTATTCTAAAACTTTTTATGAATAAAATAGACTATGAAGGAGATCAACAAATATTTTCATTGAAGTTGTAGTAGCACTTTGCTGGTATTTGAAAAACTACTTTTGGAAACCTTGTATTAAGAAGAACCGGCAAGCAATTTAGCAAGCGCTAATTTTTTCTTAAATTTTTTCTTATAAGTCTTGGTAAGTAACTTCATTAGGCTATGAAATCACTTTCCATTACAAAGTTTTTATCTATAAATACGTTAAAATAAAGGTAAGTACTTAGGGGCAAACCTGTAAAGAGATGGTATCCTAGATAAAGTGCATAAGATACCCTCTACCACCTCTTGACCATTTCAAAATAACAATGTCCTCCGAAAACTCAAAATTCTTGTTAAATTGTAGTGAAAAAATAACTTTCTTATATTTTTCTATTATCTGACTGACGGACAAATAGAATTTCTTTATTTTACCCAGTCGTCAGCCCTATTTTATATGGCTTCGCGGACAACTCGGAATGTTTACTAAGGACCACCGTTAGTCCGCGGACCACCATACCACTGGGTACCACTGGCTAACTCATAGTTCGAAAAACTGCGTTAGCTATAAGTAATAACATGTTATTCTTTTTTATCAATGAATATAAAGACTATTATTAATTTAATATTTATGATAGCTTTATTATTCGCCGGCATATCGACAGGACCTCTAAAATGGTGAAATTCCTTGGAAAACTCTCTGAGAACGTGTAACTTTTTCAGTTGCGGGATGGTCTATAATTTCTCATAGCAGCGATGTTGTTTTGGTAACAGTGTATCAGGATTACTAGAAACATATCGGCTTACGATTTTTAACGGTATTCACTGTATTTGTCGTTTTCGTCCGTGGGAGATTACCTTGAGTGACCCCACACGTGATCCTGGGTGGTGCTAAACAAGTGACAACATACTGGTGGTAGGCTTAAGCTGTGGCTAGTGACCACCCACCGAACAAAGCCGTGGCGCTGAGCGGCCTACCCGTGTTCCGCCACGATGTTCGGTGACGCCGTTAGTGGAGATAGGTCGAAGCGGTTGTTCCTTTGCTCGATGCCGATTTCTGGCTTGTGTCATGCAGGCGGCATCGGGTAGCTGGTCATGGAGGGTAGCGGGATCCGAGGCACGGTGCTCCGCTGGCCGACCGCAGTTAGTAGGGGGCCCAACTAGTGAGTTAGCCACTCATGAAAGGCTGCCCCGCCAACTAGCGAAAAATCCCGGAGTGCGCCATCATGCCGGTTGGCGACCGGATGTAAGAGCCTGATGGACAACTCCGGGGGGGGGCTCGGGCATCCCCGCAATCTCCAGACCGTGTTCCCCATCGGTGTTGCTGTTTGATGCGTGCCAACAAGGCGTGAGTATGGAGCAAGTGTTTCACTTCTAGCCTCACACCGAATCACTCCTTCACATGCATGTAAGAAAGAGGAAAAAGGCTCAACAGCGGATGCACTCCCTTACACTCAAAGTGCACCTCTCTAATATAAGAGGTCTGCACTCAAATATCGTGCCGGTCCATCACCATCTGGAGACCGTAAAGCCTGCACTCTTCTTTCTTACGGAGACGCAGATAGGAAATCCGTCAGACGCGTCGTACTTGTTGTACCCCGGATACTCCTTAGAGCAGAATTTCAAGCGGAAAGCCGGGGTATGCCTTTACAGACGGCGTCTCCGTAATCTAGAGGATCCCAGATTCTCTGTCCTTTGGGGCCTTCTGGACACAGGTCAAGAGAAGATACTCTATGCCTGTGTCTACTGATCGCACACAAGAGACGTGGAGACAACCAGGTTTCACGAATATCTCGTCGAGGCGGCGGATGCTGCCCAAGTGACGTATCCTACGGCCCAACTTGTGTTTCTGGGAGATTTTAACGCCTGTCACGAGACGTGGCTATTCCCATACCGGAAAACAGACCATGCCGGGAGAGAGACGCGAAAGCTAGCTTTAGCGTTAGATCTCACCCAGCTTGTCCAAAGTGCTACTCGGGTACCAGACGTCGAAGGGTATACACCCAATTGCTTGGACCTTCTGCTGACAACCGATCCAGACCGATACTCAGTGTCAGTATCGGCTCCCTTGGGTAAGTCCGATCACTGCGTGGTGAAATCTGTGTCGGCCTATTACCAGCCCAACATCGGCCCTGGCGGCATCCGGCGATTGTGGCGATATAAGTCAGCAGATTGGGATGATGACGTATGTTTTTCCTCAAATAATCCGTCAAGCTGCGCGGACGCTGTGACTGAAGTACTTCGACAGGGTATGGAATACTTCATCCCGTTTTCCGACGTACCGATGTCCAACAAAGCTCAACCTTGGTTCGGGGCTGAATGTAGATACGCTGAAGCGTTGAAACAGGAGGCGTACCTGGCCTGGGTTGATGCTCGACACCGCAAGGCAAATGACGTACGTGAGAGGAAACGAAAATTCAACAGCGCTGCCAAGTCCTGCAAGAAGGTGTTACATAGGGATCGCTTCAACCATATCAGCCGAATAGGGGCCAAACTGGCTTCGTATCCTTCGGGGAGTAAAGCGTTCTGGTCCCTAGCTAAATCGGTTGAGGCAAACTTCTGCCGTCCCTCACTGCCGCCGCTGCTTAAAACTAATGGTACACTGGCCCACACCGCTGAAGAGAAAGCAAACTTGTTTGCATCTCTGTTTGCAGAAAATTCGCGTCTTGATGCTGGTGGCGCTAAACCTCCATCACAACCACCAGCCGGCCCGACAAAAATGTCGGAAACTAGAATTCGCCAGACGGATGTTCGGAGAACGCTGCGTAATCTTGACGTGTATAAAGCCAGTGGACCCGATGGTATCCCAGCCATAGTCTTAAAGACCTGGGCACCTAATTTGTCTCCCGTCCTGACACGCCTGTTTAGACTATCTCTAGCAACTGGTATTGTACCGAAATCGTGGAAGCTTGCTAACGTGCAGCCCGTGCCCAAAAAGGGCAGTCGTGATGACCCTGCCAACTACAGGCCCATATCTGCCACCTCCATACTCTGCAAGAGCATGGAGCGTGTCTTAAACGGCAGGCTCTTGGCGTACCTAGAATCCAATGATCTCCTTAGTGACAGTCAATACGGATTTCGTCAAAATCGGCCCACGGGAGACCTTCTAGTGTACGCCACACATATCTGTAGTGAGGCCATCGAGAATCACGGGGAAGCACTAGCTGTTTCCCTGGACATCTCTAAGGCATTCGACAGTGTTTGGCATGACGGCCTTATTAGCAAGCTTCCATCGTTTGGACTGTCACCTAGTTTATGTGACTGGATATCGGACTTCTTGAGGGATAGATCCCTACGAGTGGTCGTTGACGGCTTCTCGTCGGACCAAATGGCCATTAATGCCGGTGTTCCTCAGGGATCCGTGCTCTCTGCGACCTTATTTTTGCTGCATATAAACGATCTGTTGAAACCCGGTATCTTTGGGTATACAGACGACAGCACAGTCATGGAGAGGTACATGTCCAGTCCGAGAGTGAGCCCGGCTGAA